TCCCTAAGAATGATAAAAGAAAGGAAAATCTTCTTATTTCTGTTTCAATTTTATCCTATTGTAGCTTTGAAACACTGGTTCAGAAAGTCCCTGTTCCGATATCTGATCAGTCATACAGTACCATGTGTTAATTTGTCCTTTTTATTGCTTTATAACTTTATCAAATCATCAGCTGGATGAAGGAAACTTGCACACAACTGGGTGATACAGAACAAACAGAACACTAGGTTTTCAAAGGATGAGCCTCTGGAAAGGTCTGAACCTTAATTGGACTGCAAACTTACGGACTACAGCTAAATAGCAAATGTGAGAACAGTTATTAAGAAACGTGGTTGCGAAGAAATTGACATGCTTCTAATAAAAAGCCCTTCCTAATTTAAAAATATTCCCTCTTATTTTGTTGCAAAAGCTTGCTTTGCAGGAAACGCTATTTTACACTTTCTAAACTAATAGTCCTAAGAGTAGAAAACGGAACTGTGCAAACCGAAAAAAGTTTTGAGAACCTTGTGTATTCAATAACCTATTGGGATTTCAATGTCTTCATATATTTATTCTTCTTCTTTTTCTTGCATTGTCAAATCCATCTCAAACAACTGAGACATTAAATGTATGTATTAACAGCGAAGGAAGCTGTTAAAAAAAATTTCCTGCTGCATCTGACCTTTTAATATGGAAAACGACACCTTAAGTCCCTATTATTACTCATGGTAAATGCTTCTTTATTCTGTACCCCATACAACACAAAGTCTTATATAATCATAAAGTTTACCATGAAACCACTAAATAACATTCAGTGGTACCATATGGCTCCAGATGGTCATCTTCTGCACAGTTTGAGAAACATGGCTTTTCTGTGCAGAACCAAACGGTTTGTTACAGCACATTAGTAGATAAGAGCCTCAGTAAAGACCAAGAAATACGAGAGATGGGTTGAAATAGAGCTATGGAGAACTTAAATGCAGGTTAATGATAAAAAGATAAGCTTCAAACATTTCATAGAGCACTGTTCTATGAAATGGCTGCTATCTTAAACTAAAAGGCCAGTTAAGAAAAGAGTTAATTAGGTCAAAATGACTGTTGTAACTGTGTTGGTGCTGTACAGATCCACAGCTCAGGTTTTATATAATTGTTCACTTAATAACGATTGGCTTTCAAATCTGACTTTTATGCAAGTGAGCATAAAAACAGAGAAAGCCACAAGGTAAACTGGGGTTAAAGACCTTACAAACAAGAACAAAGCAAACAGGTATTTCCACAGTGAGATTTTGTTGTAGCAGCATTATACAATCCAACAGGAAAGCAGTTTTAAACATAGAGCTACAGGGGGAAGGGTCTTAGATCCAAGGATATTTGTTTGTGTCAGAAAAGGCCAGCCAAAGTCCAACCCTACACCCAACTAACATTTCTGGCAAACCTGAAATATCGCTGTTCCCAGACACTCTCCATCGGAGCTTGAGAAAATTTTTTGAAAAACGAAATATTTTTTAATCTCCAGACATGCAAAGCTGGTATAAATATACTCTAAACTTGCAGCTGTTATTACACCAAAATACAGATCTACAAAGTATTGACTCAACGGGCAAGACGCACTTACCAAATTTTTTATTAAAATGTCTTTTAAACCATCTTACATTTTATTTATGTATATATACAGAACAGAATCAAGATAAGTTAATCAGCACAGAGGGACTGTCTGTCTGTTGTTGCACAAGAGTTACTTCAGCACGGAGTACTGTAAAAAAAAAAAAAAAAAAAAAAAAGATTACAGTATGCATCATGCAGGTAAAACTACTTTAGGACTGCTGAAACTTTGATTTAACAGATAAAGTATTGTTAATTTAATTCCAACTTGGTTAACAAGGGAACACGTTGATAGGAACATCCACACCTCCCATCCACGCTGCACAAGATTTAGCAGGTAAGCCTCACATTAAAATCCGAGACTAAACCTATTTTGCGGTACAGCTTGCTGCTCGAAAATTAGTCTGAAGACAAAGTTGACTTTGTAAAGATGCTGAATTCATACACTTAGGGGTGTTGTTTAATGGGGGGGCTGTCACATCAATAAAGTTCACTGAGTTGATTGAAGTTTCATTTAGTTGTAACTGCCCCTGAGTGTGGAGCATTCCTCTGAAAAGAGTCTCATTAAAATGTAACAGTCATTAGCTCATCAATGACAGCCATTCCCTGATATAAGATAAAAGCACATTCATTGAATTAGCCACATAAATTTTGGGAATTATAAATGTTTCTTGCAGCGTGGGCGTGGTACCATCGGCCACTTGTCCGCCTCTCCCATTCAGCTCATTCAGAGGAGCTGGACCCCCCCTTAGTAACGGCTGAGATGGAAATAAACGGAAGAGGGGGGGAATGAAAGAAATCAATAAAGTCAAAAATACATGAACTTGAATTAATTCTTTACTCATATACAAGTAAAGTTATCAGTGAGTTATATATTACCTAAAGCAAAAATTAGCTAAGCATACTGTAACTCCGTAAAGCTTATTGAGTTACTTTTTTTGTAAGCAGAAAAAAGACAGTTAATCAATAATTAAAAGTTACAATAAACAAATATCAAAATCTTTAAAAACTACTGTTTTGCACCAACCATGTTTTATATGGTAAATGGGCTGCACTTGTATAGTATTTTATTTTTCATTTCTGATTTGCAGATATTCAACCACCCATTATTAAACACGTTTGCATACTGACAAGTATCAAGTTGTTTTTATAGATGCATCTATGTTACATTGTTTATAAAGTGCAAGATACTTATGGTAATCCATATTGCAAAAGGCTGGGAAGCAAATAACTGCCATGCCTGTGAAGGCCTTGCCCCCCCTTCAAAAGAAAAAAAAAAAGTCTAGCTCCACCTGGTAATGTTCGGTATTCTCTTTCATAATTATAAACAAACATTTGCATAAAAAAGGTATATATGTCCACTTTGATGCTGAAATTAATTTTACAAATGCAAAAAAAAATCCTTGAAGTAAATTGAGAATATCTGAAAATATTTGATTAATTTGTGAATAATTTTGAGTTAAAGGTATAGAGGATAATCTTTCATTTCTGAGTGGATCATCCAAATGAGTGGTCCTCCTAATTGTCCATCATTCTGGTAATATGTTTATGTAAGGCCGTCCTACGTGCTAATTCCGTTAGCTATAGTTTTCTGGCATATATCTGTGGTGAGCTAGTTTCAGACAGTCATTGAAGCTCACCTTTCTCAACGCGGTTCATTGAAAATGGCCGAGGGTGGTAAGAGAAGTGTCTGAGAAGAAAAGACAAAAGAGGCAGATGTATTCTAGAACAACTTGCATGGAGAGCTCTCCTCGCAAAGCATTACAGGATTTGCTGTCACAGCGGCCCGTTGTGAGGAAGATTGTGCAGACACTGCACGGTGGAGTTACGTGACCAACGGGGGAGCAAAAAGCAGTGATCATCAGTCCGAACGGTAAGTTAACAGAGTTTGCTATAAAGTCCACTATATAGTCCCCGCTCTATATAGTGATTGAGGGATTTAGAGGTTAGAGCAGACGTTTGGACACAGAAGCTTGCAGCTATGAAAACAGCATTTAAACAAAGCGTGCATGAGGAGTAATGGGCTTGTGCATGCTCTCACACGTGTTTAATAGGCGTTCCCTCTCAGGAGCGGGTACAGCTTTGTGCATGTGTATTTTATTTTAAAGTTTAAAGGGTGGTTCTTCTAAAAAAGTTGCTAAAAAACCTCCACAATACCTTAGGCTTAGGATATTTATGCTATTAATCACAATCAAATACCTTAATAGATTGACAAGCCTACTCCAACTGATCATGTCTAGTAGGTGTTCTACGTCGTGGGGTGGGGCTGTGACACCATAAAAACATTTAGGTTTACGGCACCCAAAAAAATAGCACCTCCCCTGGCCTCAGAGATTTAACTTTTTTGTGCATAAGTTTCTCAATAACCTTTATTGAATTATCCCCAATTTTGTGTGTGTGACTATGAGGGTGCTTCGCTGCTACATCTACCCCACCAGAATAAGGATGATATAATCCAACAGGCATTCTGGAATATACAGTACCAGAACTACATGAATAACTCAGGTTGTTTGAAGGCAGAAGGGGTTGTTTTTTAACCCAGATACCATCGAATCCATGTTGTAGAGCCTGTAGGCCCAGATGAACACTTGGTTTTTCAGGTTCTCTCTGCATACAGAGGAAGTCTTGCTGCCCCCTGCTGTGAGTCCCAGATATTTGGCTGGAAAGAAACTAGGAGCAAATCCTAGCAGAAAAATAGCATTCCTGAAGGGGCAAAAGACCGAAACATACAAGTACATAAAGTTTACTCATAGTTTTTCATAACAAATATCAAAATGACTAAACCATTATGAATTTAACAACACGGCAAAGATGCATTCAGTGTGGTTGGCACCCAAATGACTGTTAACCACACTCCCTGCTCCTCGCCTACTAAAAACCTTTGAGGGTAAATCAGACCTCAGTGAATCTCACTGAGTGACTCGTAAAGAGCAATGATTTCAAATAAGATTTGACTTATTTAAAGTTAGCAGATATGAAATAAAATTTAAAACATGACCCGTCTGTTAATGGAAAAAAAATCCATTATCAGACCAAATGTTTATCAGCACTGTAAATGCCGTGTACTTAGAAATGTTAATTAAAATCTCCCCAAAATAATTTAGAATCGTGACACCAATTTTATTGGTTGAAATTTAGCAGTTTGTTTCATCAGTATACTTTTCCATGCATTAACATGAAGAATTTTTGATCTGCTTAGTTTTTTTGTGTGCAACTTTTCCAACTGTTTTCAAGAGCAGAAGGTTCATTGATAAAGAGATCAATGGAACAACCTGTGAGCCGAGGTGTGCACAATGTTCCTGAGAAAAAATGCAAAGAGCCACGGGTTCACACTGACAGGAAAACCCCAGTCAGCATGTATTTCAACAAGAACCTGCAGTGACAACCTGATGACTTCATGCAAAGAAAACAGCTGTTCCTCTCAGAACAATAAATTTTTTAATATATATTTTCCATTTTTTCCAGAACAAAGCCAACATGATTATTATTTTATATTATGATGATCATTGCAAATGCTGTATCATAAATATATATTTTTTTACATTTTCATTTCAAAAATGTGTATAATAGAAATCTTAAAAATAAAGTGTAGTAGAAAGTTAACAATCTGGAAAACTGTATTAAATTGAGCCCATTTTAGTTTTTTTTTTTTTTACATTCCAGCCCTTTAATGTTTAGTCAAAAGGGCTTCAGCTAATGGAGGACAGATTTATCTGATCTCGTTTTCACACGGTTTTGTTTACGCAATGAAAACGTCAAATTGTTTGATGAATTTGCAATTAAATAAAATATATAAAAGGCAATATCGGCAAAAGCACAGACACTGTAAGTGCATCTTACAAAAAAATAAACTCTGAGTATTCAAACGCGGAGTGTGACGGTGTGAAGCTGAAAGTCAGCCAAACAGAGACAGTTTTGGTAAAAAACAGAAGAAAAACAGTGTAAAGATTAACAGGAAGACACGAAAAACCCATTTCTTGTGCTTATTCTGCCCATTGAATGTTGCACTTTGATTTTAACTCTTTAATCAATTTCTTTGTTCATCTCTGCAGGGTGGTTGCATAATTTCCCCCTGCTTAGAAGGTTCTTTTCCCCGTTTTGTTTATACTCAGTGCCAGTCCTCGTCGTCATCATCCTCCCCTTCGGACGAGTCCTCCTGGCTGCTGATCTCCGCCTGCTGTGCCGCTCCGTCCCCCTCTCCCCCCTGATGAGCTGCTGCAGCCGCTGCTGCTGCGGCAGCCACTTTTCTGGCTCGAGCCTGCGCTGCAGCTTTCTCCTCCTCCTCTTTCTGCCGCAGGGCTGCAGCCTTCTTCTCCTGCTCGGCGTGGCTCTTCATGTGGGCACTTCGACTCTTCACTTTATGGAACACCCTATAAGGAAAGATAGATTCACTTAAAGCTTGAAAACTGACATTTAACACTTTGTTCAGAAAAAAATCCTCCTGTTTCAGGTAAAATGAAGATACTTGGAATTTAAGCCTGTTCTTTGTTGGGCTGTGCTTTGCCTTAAACATACAGGCATAAAGTGAACTTTGCTACATGTTTATTTACTTTGTAAGCATAAGAACTCGTGCAGCTAATGCGCAAACAGGACTGTGACTTTTGGTGAATGGAAACATGAAAAACATGAGCATAAATGCTACATAATACAACTTATAAAGATTTTATATTATAGTCACATGAAGGCAGACATTTTTTTGACACCCTTCACAATCCGAAAGATAAAAGGTCAATGCTAAAGAAGGTGGATTTTTACTAAGTGCTGTTTGCAAGTATATTGATATAGGTTTAATAGAAAAAAGAGCTGTAACAAAAAATATCATCCTGCTACAGTTATTACTGGTGCTCAAGCAATAAGAATATGTACAGCAAAACACACAACTAAATACATTTTTGAGATGAAAGTATATTTTGCATTTCTTTGGAAATTAACTCCCGGTATGCTTTAGAGAGCAAGGCAGACTCCCCTTGTGCAAATTTTTCAAAGAAATCTGTTGAAATACAGCTTTCTACAGAACCAGGTTCTTTGGCAATAAATCTTTTTCTAGGTTCTTAATGCCGGTTTGCTGGGCCGTCATTACAGAACATCAATATGAACGGGTTTTCCCATGATTGTACATTAAAATATTATATGGTTTTATGGTATACTCTTGTCATTTTCTTCAATTTCAAAACAAAACTCTGAGTTTTCATAAGCAAAATGATATCTTGAGATGTGTATATCCGCATCATGGTGAGTGTGATGTAATACATTGGTTTTACAAGCTTAATCAATATATTTTGATAACATAAAATGTAAAAAAACTATTAAAAATAATAAAAAATGTAAACCTCCTTAATTAAATATTTTTTATATGATCTGTGAAATATGGGATATTTCAACATTTGCCACAAAGTAGTGCTGTTCTAGAGTGACACCTAGTGGTATCGAGAAGGAGCAAGAAAAAAAAAACTAATTTTTTTTTATAGTCAGCATAATTGGCCAGATTTGTTACACAAACCGTGACTTTTGTCCTTATTTATGCATTGTTACAGGATCTTTTTTTACTACACTGTCATACTACAACATTATATTATGAAATATATAGAACAAACTTGTTAATTGGGTAAAGAATACAAAACTATATGTTTTAATCTATATATATCTTCAAGAGGAAAGGTTGAGGACACAAACTGAAATTCTGCAATAATATGCAGTTCCCAGGAAGTCTATCAACCCGGTGTCTAATATGAAATATCATAGATAAACTGTGACAATATGAAAAGGGAGAAGAGCGCATACCTCCAAATTAAATCATTAGGTTGCTTCTGCCTGAGCAAAGGAAAATGTTTATATTTGGGCTTCAGATAAAGAGTCAAATATATTTGTCATACTTTCCAAAGGAAGCCATTAAAAGGCAGCAAGTGATGATGTAGGAGAAAGACTGTGGAAATCGCCCTCATGGCTCATCGGGTTCAGAGATTATAAATAGTCATGTTGAAACTCATAAGCAAACACATCCAGGTTTCAGAACTTGAAATACTGGTCAACCTTACTGATCATTAGATTGGATATTCGAAGTTAACAGCAAGTTATACAGAAGCCTCTGCCAAACCAAAACTGAAGCGGATGGCAAAGCAGAAACCTGGTGTATCGAATAGTGCGTTCAAACTTGACGTCTTGCCAGCAATTAGAGTGGTGGGGGACGAGCTCCACTTCCATCGCATCATTGCCTCATCAAATACAAGGAGCTTCTAGTTGCTGCTTCCTGGTTTCAACACAACATGTCAGACCTAGATTTTAGCGAGCAGATCATGATGCTCACGGAAAGCTAAGCAAAGGTTCAAGGTCCATCAGATTCTCTAATGATCCTCCTCCTGGCCATGTTACTTCCCTTTGACCAGGTCCTGAAACTATCCTGCTTTGGAGGAGGATCGACCAGACAACAGGGGTAAGGTGAGGAGGTGTTATGGAGCTCAGACGACAGCAAAACACATGAGGAGGAGGCTGGCCGTACTCTGGAGCTAAGGGAGGACAGTGGGAGGGTTCAGGAGGACGTCGGAGTAAGTCGTCGGGGAGAGGCAGTGGGGGGCTGGGACGAGTTCTGGAGCTTCAACAGGAAGATGAATGAAGATTGACACGGTTCGATTGGCTAACCATCGACATTTGGCTCCCTCACCATTGGCAAAAAAAAGCCAAGGTCTGCCTCCCCACTGGCAAGCTGCGTGGCCCCTGCGCCCCATACTGCTGGGTGTCTGGTGGTGTCATCACACTGGTTTAACATTGATGATGTAAGCAGTGCGACAGAAATCAGGAAAGTAAACAACAGAGAGCAACATGTAAGGAGGACTTAAAAAATGTGCTTAATCGTTATGCTCTTTTCTCTGTCCAATTCATGTTTACAGGATAAAAGCAAAGCTGTTTTGGCTTGTTAGATCATAGGTGGCTGGTGCATACTTTTGATGTCCATTCTTTGCTCTCAATGGTATCATGTAAATTAGCAGATCGACCCTGTTCTGAAGGTCCTGAGGCATGCCGATCAGAGCCGAGGCTATTTTAACGCAGGTCGCTTGCCTAGTCGTTTGACCAAGGTAGACATGGGTCACTGAGCTGTTCCTACTGCCACAAAAAGCCAATGTTCCCATTTTAAACAGGTTTTTAAGCAGTTGGGAAAGGGGTATAGCAGTCCTTTTAAGGGCTAAATCAAAACAAGCACCCAAAAATCTCTTAAAAGCATTCCTTACTTCATCATCTGTCAACATCTCTATTTTCCTTGTCGATTAAAAAAACGCTCATTACTGCTGCGCTCCTTCACTCTACATTACAGACACGTCCATTGATAAAAAATTCACATTTCCAACTCCAGCAACTATCACCATAATCCTGCCTGTCGAGTGACTAGGAGCAGACCATTGTATTAATTTGCACCGCAGCGCTCCTGAATGCACCTTTAAATAAAGATGACATGTAAACAAATCGCTCCATGCACTGAAAATGAGCTTGGTGTGAACGCACCACAAAGGAAAGCATGGCTGATTGTTTGAGGACATCCAGACGCTATAATAGCGTGCAGAAACACTGATTCTATTAGAACTGAGATAAGATGGTTTAAAATTAACCAAGAAGATCCTTTGTGTCAGTCACAAATATGGCGAGGTTTGTTCCACAAAACTTTCAAACTTTCAGGAAATATTTTTAACAAAGTTAAACAAATATAAAAACACAAACACCACAGGGATCGGTCTGGCTGACTAAAAAACGGCCATACCTGCCACATTTCTTGCATGGAAACACTTCATTGGGGTCCTGCGGGGGCTTCGTTGGAGCTTTGGGCTTCTTCGCAGCAGCTTCAGCCCGAGGCCTGTGAGGCACTGATGAGTGATGAGGCTCGTTACTCACCGGCTCTGGCTCTTTGATGACCAGAACTGTTCCTGTCTGAAGCAACAATAACATGTGGGCGTTGACTGCACCAAGAAAGTCTGGCGACTATTAAAACAAAGAGCAAAGCTCAGTACTTACTACGTAGTCGTGAGCCTGTAGTGACTGGGCCACCCTCGCCTGCTGCTTGCTTTCGTTGTCCTCATCGTATAAAGTAGCTTCCTTTTTTTCTTCTTCTTCTTTTGCCTCTCCTTGAGCTACTTTTGTCAGATGTGAGCTCTGTCAATGGAAGGGAAAATTGTGTGTGATGTTCAAACGGATTAATATGATCAGGTCTAAACCCCCATGTACATTAATTTTCAGTTCTTCTTTTTAACTTTCCATAGTTTTCATCACTTCTACTTTCCCATCCTCTTGACCTAAATAATTGATTTTGGTGCTTCTTTAATCCTTGTATAGCATGTTTACCTTCAATGCTAATAAGTTAGTCTGTAGTACTTCTTTAAAAAGGACAAAACAAAATCCAGGTGAAAAGGTTAAAAAAAATTGTTTTTAAGTGGCAAACAGGAGAATGTATTCATTCATTGTTTTCAGAGAATATCTGAAAATGAGGAAACCCCCACATTTAGCTCATCTTTAAATATAAAATAACTCTTTTTTTTTTTTAGCATAGAAATAAATACTAACTTTGAACATTCGCTTTCTTTCCATTCAGATCAGTTTATCATTTCAACTACCCTCATCCCCATCTTATTCCCTTGACTTTACCTTAACGTCCACCACAGCCTCAGAGTGCTTTTCCACTGGTGAATCTGGGGGGCCGAAGGTTAAGATACCATTTCGACCGACCTTCACCTGCTTCTTATACGTATAGTAGAACTCCACACACTGAGCCACAGTCTTAGTCCGCACCTGATAAATAAATAAATAAAAAAAACGCTTGGATTAAAAAATAATTCAAAACATTAAGTTAACAAAAAACTCTATAAATTAAAAATTAGGTTCTCCTCTGGAGAGGTTTAGAACAAATTTCAATAGGAAAGGCTTATATTGGCATTTATGGTAAAAGACAATGGTTGCGACTATCAATCAACCAAAAAAATAATCACTGTTTTCTACAAGAGATACTCTTAGCTTGTTAACAAACCTCAAACAAGTCTTTGAACATAGTAAGAAAGCAAAACAAACATGATTGGAAATTATGAATTCATTGTAAATGGCAAAAAACATGTATAGAAAAAAAAATCTAAATAAAGTCTGAATGGAGGATATTTACAGTTTAGTTTTCATCAAATATTTCATAAAGTTTTGGCTTAATTACTGCTCTGAATTTGTTCTTTCAGTTCATGCCATCTGTTAGAGTCTGTATATTCCAGTTAGCGATTGTTAACCAACTAAATTAATGATGATTATTTCAATCTATATTATTAGTTTAAGCCTTATTGGAGAGTAAATCCAGGGTTCCTTCACATAAGTAATAATTTTCTCACACCTATTTAGACATGAGTGTATTCAGTTGTCAGAGTTTAAAGAAGGCACCTTTAATAACGGGATTAATAAAGTTAGCAGAATAAGGGATTGAAGTCTACAGCGAAAGTTGACAAATGAATAATAATATTAAAATTCAAATAATTTATAAATTCAAGATTCTTTCAGGCTGGATACTGTAACACACCGACACATGCCACAGCTATTGTTATGATTCTGCAACCCAGACTTCCTGCTGTGAAGAGGATGTGATTTATTTACTCTGATTTTCTTCTCTTTGAACTGAAAGGAACTTGAAAAAGAATCTCTTCCTGTCTGCAAAGTAATGATTTCTATCATACCTGAATAACATAAATCATGCAAAATTTATTTTACCTGTTAAATTGAAAAATATAAATAGGATTATTATTAGTATTGTGGTGAAAAGGAAAAAAATGACTCAAAAGGCATCATCCTTACCAATTGCTGGACCAAGAAGAAGTCCTTCCTGTAGGCAGAGATCCCTTTGTTGAAGTAACATTTCTCCTCTGCTGTCCAGCTGTCAGAGCCTGGGAGAAAAGTAAAAAAAAAAAATAGAATGAAATTTAAACCTAGCAATAAAATAAAGATGAAGAGATGGATGTGAGGATAATGTCTGGAAGGTGATGCAGCTTTTTCACCTGAGTAGTGATAACTTGCCAGGTGATGGCCTTTGGGGAAAATTGGGTCTTGAAGCATCAAACGCTCCAGTGTTTCCTTAATATCAAGCAAAGTTAATGAAAAATAAAACATGCAGATATTGAACTAAAATAAATCACATCTGGTCTCTTTACTTACAAGAATTTTGCCTCCACCCTCATGTAAACAGTGCAAAACCAGCTCCTGATTGGTCCCTCCTCCACTAAAAACACTCGAACACGCCAGGTTCATAAAATGCTCTACTAAAATAAGAACATGTAAATTAGGGGAGAGAAGCTCAGAAATGACTGAAATTAGTCTGTGACAGAAACCTACTGGTCTCCTCGTCGCTTTGTTTTTGGTTGGGGTTATTCAAAGGAAGCCAGACCAACTCGGCCTTATGCTGATCCAAGTGAGAGGACAGCTGATCTTTTAAATCAGGTATTTCTGCCTGGTACTGTTGCCCGATATTGATACGGCTGGACCCCGACACAAAACAAAAAGATAGAAATGTGAGCAACGCTGAAAATAAAATATAAGTAAGAAATCTGTTCAAATCTGTGATGCTCACGGTTCAAGGCACACAGGTGTGGCATCAGTGATCAAAGGCAAGACTGGAGGTGTGATTTCTGAGCTGGCTAAGAAATGCAAAAAGAAAAGAAAAACTAAGGCATTATTGGAAAAAAACAAAAAACAATTACTGGCAAAAGTCATGTGAGACTTACTGGACCGTAAGAGGCTACGCGTTGCAGACTTTGGAGTAGCCGGAGGCGGAAGGATCTGGTTGCTTACGGCTATGTTGGTGAGGAAGGTGGAGAAGTAGAGCCCTGATCCCCCTCTGACAGGTGAGAGGATGGGAGGGGGCGTGTATGGGGGCAGGGCGTGCAGGTTGTCTGGCAGGCGGACTGGTGAGCGCAGGTTGCTCTGGTAGGAGGTGATGCTTGAGTAGAGGGACGGGGGGATAAAGTTGGATACTTTGGGAGGCGGGATAATGAGGGGCTCAGGACGAGTCCGGCGCTTGAACTTAGCCTTTCCGTCTTCATCCATTCCTGAATCGCTTTCCCCATCCTGAAATAATGAGGGGAAGTGGCAGATCTTAAAGTTTATATCTTTAAGTGTCCTATAAAGAGAAAAAACTGCTTCCCTAACTTTTGTAGCAAGAGTATCTGTGACTAAGCCTTCATTTGTAGAGTTTGGAGGCAGAAGTGAAACCTCGAAAAAGAGGGACAGTAGCCATCTCTGTGAAATATGTTCAATAGTTCACCATTTTGAAAATTAAATATATATAAACATCACCAGAACTTGCAGCCTGGAAAGAATGTTCTCAAACTAAGAACTAAAATAGCATTTTACAATATTTAAGTCTTTTTGCCCATGAAAGAAGGGCTCAAAATATCACAATGACACCATAGAAAGTAAAGTGTAGGTGTTGCAATACTCAGCACCCAGTTCTATTGCTGTTTTTAGCATCTTAGCCAATAAATGCGTGAACTCAAAATCTATGCTTGGTTGACTGGTCCTTACACTAAATATTAAACAACTGGTAGGTTTGAATTTACATTAAAGTTCTATAAATACTGTTAAAAATGACCAACGCTTCAGTGTAGGTCTGGTATCCAATAATAAAAGAGCAGTTTCATTATTACGCCTCACGCTGAAGATGTGATGTAAAATACAAGAAGAATAATGACAACAAAGACACAAACAAACTGCTAAATGGTTTTCAATAGTCTATTGCTGTGGGTGTAGGATTAAATAAAAATTGGTGCTAATCCACCAGCCTACTGCCTTAAGGTTAACAGATATTTTGATTGAACTTTTTCGAGCACTACCTTTTAGTCCATAATTGTATAAAGACTTTGTAATGTCTGATGTAAGCTTATTTTTGTCACATAAAATGAACAAGTTAAACCGGGTTAGTATTAGTCAATAATATTTCTGCAAAGCTTTGCCTTTAATTTTTTTATCTGAAATTAACTGTGGATTGTGAAAAATAATTGACAGAAAATTCTATTTCTTTTATTAGAGTTGTCAAGTAACTTTCTGACAAATTAAATACAAAATGTATATTTTCTGAATAAGTTAAATTAGAGCATTAATTTGCATCAATTTTATACATTAGGCATTTCTATGTAATTTTTTACACATTTTCTGTTCACTACATGTGTCTGATTGGGTAAGTCTGGGTTTTCAAGCACACAAACATCCCAATTATGATACAGAAGTCTTAAAAACTCATGTATTATATGTGATACACTTGGCTTTAAAGGGTTAAAGTGAAACGCATTACTTAACAGAAAGTTTAGATATTGCTTTTCAGCATATCCCAGCTGATGATGGTAAAACATTTTTAGTGCTGGACCACTTTAGTGAGCTGACAGAACCTTAGGGTTTATGATGCTACTCTAATTGGGTGGAATAACTCTAATGAATAAACTGTACTCCATTTGGACTTCTAAATGCTTAATAACACAATATATAGTAATCTTATAGTAATCTTTATTAAAAAAATAAATTTCAACTATTAATAATTTTTGCTTTTTGTCATATGTAAATGATACAGATCATCAAACAAATGAGGTTTAACACCTTGTACTTTACATCAAAACAATTTCTTATATTATAATTAAGTATTTAAGTAATTAGTACATTAAGATTTCCTTTATTCAATAAAAAAACTCTAAACCAACCTGGTGAAAAAGAGTTGAAACTACATTTAATTTCCTGGGAAACCAAGATAAATTTAACTAGCCTGACCTTGCTCTGATCAATGGATGAAATTTGTTAAATTAAGTCCGTCTTACATCATGAGATGGGCTAAAAGATCTCCAAAATTAATATCATTTTGAACAGCTGAAATTCAAGAACATAGGAGGATCAAAGCAGTTGACCTCCATCAATCTGGAACTGGGTCGCACAGCCTTCTCCCGGGCTGTGGGAGACTTTTTTTCTTGCAATGTGTCCAAAAAAAGTTGTGCAACTGGTCAATAAAAGGACAGGTGTTTCTAAATATGAAAAGGGGGATTTTTTTTCTCCTTTTGTTTTCTGGTTGAAAATCCCCCACTTTATTATAGGTGTGGAAATCAGCACAGTGATCTTTTAATATGGAAGTGTGAGGCAGTGAGAAAACATGCATGTCTGTATGATACAACTTTTAACATATATAAAGCATCTATACGACTCTCTCAAGCTCCTCCTCATCAATTTGAAAAAATGCGCCTTGCACCAGTGTGTTCCTGTTGTTTTCTTTTGCGGCTGTAACATCGGCTACAATGGATGGGATTTCCTTCACCAGTAGTGGCCTAATAATTATTACATATAGCCAAGCTGGTTTGGATAATTTCCTTATTTTCAATAAATCAAATAATTTTTCTGATGTGTATAAGATACTTATCATGCAATTCTATCCTAACACCGTAAGGCAACCAGGCATACCGTCTTAAAAGGGGTAAAGAACATGAAAGCTGTGCAAAAGTCCAAAAAAAGAAACTAACCTGGCCAAAACTTTCAGTCATCGAGTTTCTGAGCGAACGCCGCCGAGCCACGATCACAGAGGGCTTCCGATCCGCTTGGCCTGCTGGGCGCTCACTGTGGCCGATGCGACCCTGAGCCCAACCGTCCTGAGACTCAGCCTGGTTCTTGTGCACAGGCACAGACACTGGAATAACCAGGGGCACAATGGTCGAGGGGGCGTCCTCCTGCGGAGTGTGGAGAAAACAAAAAAAAAAAAAAAGAAGAAGAAAAAGAAGAGGAGAGGAAATACAGCAGTCAGGCAAAAAAAAGGTAGGGGGAATATGGAAAAAAGAGAGTGACAAATAAAAGGGGAAGGAGGTGAGAGTCTGTATCATCTCACTATGTGCTGCAACAGCAAAAATTATTTGAATATCAGTGATACATTGTCAGGTTAAAGCAAAAATAAAAATACACAATAAGAAGTTTGAACTGTTAAAATACACATAGCTGTATCTCAGCTGCATGCTTTTGGATTCAAAAGCCAAATATAAGACAAGTTTTATACTTTCTGTTGTGTTTTTGCAGATCTACATATTTCTACAGAGAATAAAATTTCATTATCTCATAGTTTGTGTTTTTTTTTTTGTACACTGATCCAAGATTTTAAGTGAGGAACTGAAAGCTACAAATCGCGTCAGGGTGTTCATTAACAGAGGCAGCATGAAAGGCATTGCTCCAAATCAAGAAACAGACAACTTCCCAACCATAAAAAAAAAAAAAAAAGAAAGAAAAACAGAGAACAGCTCCGGCTTGCATATTAGTTGCACCAAACCAGTTTGGGGAGAATGGGAGAATGGCCGCGGACGTTGACAGCTCAGCCCCTCCCTGCCTCCCAATGACTGACTGGCAGACAGCCTGAGGAATGTGGAGGTGTGCAGACATGCAGCCACTCCAACTGCACATCACGCTACAAGCTCAGCACTCAAACCTTTAACAAACCACTCAAGGCAAGAGAACTTTCTGCACTTATGTTTATGTATTGACAGTCTGTGTCAAAGGAGCTGCAACGAATAATGTCTAAGAGGGCGCAGCACCTACTGGGTAAACACAATCAATCCTGAACTGGGACAGTATCATGTGTCTTGCAAAGATAACACCCTCAGTGCGGGTTAAATCTACTGTACAGCAGAGCTTATTGGACCACTTAATGCTGCAACAGAATGTGGTCCACAATCATAAACTGCTTAGCCTCTTTTAAAAGAGAGCTGAAACTGAACAGCTGGAGGAGTTTTGTAAAACCATAGGGAAGTTATGCATAGAAACAAAGCTCTTCCTCTTTATATAGCTGTTTGCCAACCTTGATAGATGAAAAAAAATGCTTTCACTTGGTGATTAAGCTACATTTGCTATACCTCCTAAATAAAAGCAAATATATAAAACAGGGAAAATACGTGCTGCTTCTTAGAGACGTATCGGGCCAGACCTATCAACCAGCTTTTTCTGCAAAATGTTTATCAGAGGGACTCTGATCAATTTGAATGATTTCCCATTTGTCTGACTCAGTCACACTGGTTGTTAAGGGATTGTTGGTGAGCGGCGGCAACTCTAAGCTCAAGACAATCTTGACTTTTTTCATGCAGTGGTGGAATGGTCTACTGAGCACGGCCAAAACAGTATGTCCTTGTCTACGATTAAGAAACCTTGAAAACCCAGCTGACTGGAGAGCATCGCCTACCTGGACCTACCCCTGTTCTTCCCTATTGTCTCTGCTGCACTTTCCATTAGTCAGCAAATTCTTTTCTATACCGTCACCTTTGACACAACCAGACAAGCAGTCGAGGTAGCTTATTGATTGCTTGGATATTACATGCTTTGTTATATCCTCATTAGTTAGTCAGAATGCATAAATGCCTGTCAAATGCAAATAAAGGAACATCTTTCTAATGGTTGAATTAACTTGAAATGGTGTAACGACTAATATGATCCACACACAAATAAATTATCACATAATTTTAATGATATGCTTAGCTGGGTTCTTTTAATTTCAGTGTGTTAAATTTAGGACTTTTGATATTTTTAACCATCCATCTCTTTTCTGTCACGCTTCTCCCTGCTGGGGTGGAGAGGGATGCTGGTGCCTATCCCCAGCTGTAAATGGGCGAGAAGCAGGATACACCCTGGATACAAAACCATTCATGCGCACATGCACAAGCCAATTAAGCCAACAGTCAAGTATTTGGACTGTGGGAGGAAGCCAGAATACCCAGAGAGAACCCACACATGCACAGGGAGAACATGCAAACTCCAAGCAGAAAAACCCCAGGCCGGAAATCGAACCCGGAGGCAACAGGGCTGCCACCATGCAGCTCTATTTTAGGCCATTCCCATTTGAATTTGAGAAATACAAGAATTATCCAAAAAAAAAACAAAAAAAACTGGCAATTGAATATAATCATGCAGTTTATTGCTGTTATTTGACCAGACTCGTTTCGTTTTGCACCTTAATAGAGTATGACACTAAGATTGCCATAAATCTGTCTATTTCCAAGTATGACTTTCTTAAATGTACAAATTACCTGTGGAGGTGGGAAGGGATAAAGTGAAAAGAATGTGTTGATTTCAATGTCCTAAACATTAAAATTGGATTAAATGGTTTCAAGACATATGATTGACATTTTAAGGCTTCGAAATTCAGTTAATGGATTTTAAGATAGTTTTTAAAACTATGCAAAAACCCTGAATAAATTCTAGATGATTTTTGAAAAGTGCAGGAATAAAAGAACACGCAACAACGCAGAGAGAGCTAAGAAAATAGATTCAATGTGAAGCAATTCAGCAAGGTAATCTGACATTTAGTTGATACTAATTAATGTGCGGTGGTTTAACCCTAATTAATGCCTTTTAAAAAGGTTTCCCAATACAAAAGTAGAAGAATCTAAAAAAAATCTGATAACAAAGAGCTCTCTCAGATTCTTCACAGCTTTACTTTTGTAGACCAAAATTTAAGCATCACATACATGCATTAGCATTAGATATACAGTTCGAAGCTCCTCAGTGCTGCAGTGAGCACGGTAAGGCCTGTATTTTAAGAGTTTTAAGAACATAATTTCACAATAAACCAGGAATGAAAAGGTCCCGCTCACATCATTTCTGACATAGTCACAAAGGACTAATCAGAAGGGCTTTTTAGAGGTGCATTGAGCAAGCTGAAAAGTTAAATACGTTTTCTTTCTCATACATGCCCTCACAATTACCAGACATGTAAAATGAGCTTACCTCTATTTACTGCAGTTGCTTCTCAAGGCTCACTCAGTTAGCAAACCAGAGTGATTAAGGTTATGGGGATGTGCTCTAGTTCACCTACTTTGTTGAGTCTCTGTTGTCATAAACACTCTAGTGATAGAACATGGGCAACTGTTTTGTGTTTTGAGATGGATCACAAAGGCCAGTCACAACCCCATCACAGGCTCAACACAAGACTAGGAAAATAAACGTTTTTTTTGTTTTGTTTCTGGGGTGAAATTAATGGCAAAAATTGCAGTCCAGTCGACTGATTTAACTCTGTAGTGACCCTGATTTGGGTCTCTTTTTGCTAAAAAGCTACAATGCCAAGATAAGCTAAGAAATACATATTGAAATGACTTTAATATTTATTAATTTTCTTACCACAGATGATAATATGCCTTTAAACAAAAGACCTGTGCGGTCACAGTGGCAGACTTTGATGCAATTTTCTCTTCACCCATGTGGGTCCACAATATCGATATCATTGTCACCAGAGGGGGGAGACTTTTGAAAATACTCTGGAAGATGCACTATGCTCCTTTAAGAGCTTAGGACACCCCTTACAGACTATATAAAAAAAAATAACCTAGACCTACAGTTGTTTCATTGAACAGTAGTAATAGACAGAACAGAAGTAACTAGAACACTCACTCCGCAAGATTCCACTGTTGAAGAAAAGCCATTCTAAAACTCGATTTGGACCTGCCAATAAATACTAGGTGATTAAAAATTTACCTTTTTACACTTGTAGAAAACTGAGGATCAAAATTTCCAGACTTTTTCGTTTATTTAATATACAATTATTGCATTTAATTTAATATAAAATTATAATTATGTTTTCAGTCATGAATAAATAACATTTAGTACAAAAACATTGTAAATGTTTTGTTGTTGTTTTTTTACCTTGGCAGCTTTAGCAGGTAGAGACTCCATCTCTGAAGCCTTCTGAGCCAGAGTTTCTAGGTTGATCTCTTTGGAAGCCCTCCTCCTCCTGCGGGTTATCTGTATGACCCCTCCTGTTGCTGCTTGGCTTTCTGCTCCCTTTGCACCTGTGACACCAGCTACTCCGTTCTGGGGTGGTGGTGGTAGCTCTTTGGAAGCTTGGGACCACATGTTCCCGGGTGGAGGACCCAGCGGGGACTGTCCCTCTCTGGAGAGGCGGCGTGAGCGTCGAGGGGCCCCGGAAGCTGAGTCCACAGTATCTAAGGGATTTGTAGCTCCAACCTTTTCAGAGCATGCAGCAGGTAATGCTGATGCGTCACAAGTTTGAGCCTCTGGTCGTGACTCCATTGGCTGTACATCTTTTTTAACTCCAGAATCAGGTGGAAGAGGCTCAGGAGGTGGAAAAGCTCCAAAACTTTGGGTTTGCTGCTGCAGCTTCGCTTGTCCCTGAGGTTGTGTTGTTTCTGGCTGTGGAACATTCTGTTGCTGCATCTGCTGCTGCATCTGCTGAAGTTGCTGTTGCTCCTGCAGCTGTTGCTGGTGATACTGTATTTGGTGCAATTGCTGCTGCTGGATATGCTGCTGCTGTTGCTGCATTTGGTGTTGCTGCTGTTGCTGCAAATGCTGTTGCTGCTGTTGCTGTAGCTGAATGTGATGCTGCTGGTGAATGTGTTGTTGTTGCTGTTGTTGCTGCTGCTGTTGTTGTTGCTGGTGGTGATGATGATGTATTTGTTGCTGCTGCATTTGATGCATTAGTTGCTGTTGAGTTTTGGGCTGCTCTCCGTAAATCATTCCCTTGTTTGCTGGAAAGACAGAGTAATAACCTGATGAAAACTGCTGCTTGTTCGGTCTGAATGAGGCCTGGAAAGGTTGCAGAATGGGCCCCTGCATTGTGTGGGATGGCACATGGGATTGGCTCTGGAGATCCACGCCTTTATGGCTATAGGCTTGTAGCTGGGCTTGGTGCATTACAGCAGCAGTGGCATGCTGCTCCCATTCATGCCCCCTTCCCTGAGTTTGAGCCTGGGGGGCATCTCTGTAAACTTCCACAGGTGCCGACATCTGGTTTTCCGCTCCCATCGGCATAGCTACACCTTCATGAACTCCTTTATGGAAAGCCATCTGATCCCTGACGTTCACGCCGCTCATGTATTGGCCAAAGTTCTGCCCCCAAGTTGGGACAGGAGCTTCCTGGGTCCACCCAGGTGCCTGTAAAGAGTCCTGCATCCATTTTACTGAAGATGCCTGCTGATAGTGTGGCAGACTTTGGTGCCCTTTCTCTGGGTTATAAACACCAGAGCTGCTTGCAGAGTCACTATGGCTCACCTTTGAAGCAGGAGGTCCCATACCATAATAAACCTCCCCGGTGTGTTGCACTCCTTCTTTCATGGCTGGACTCCGATGCTTGCTCTTGTCAGTGTTTACCTGAGAAGGAAGACTCATAGCAGTCTCCTAAACTAGAAAATGTTTTTCGTCTGAATGAGTGAGCGTGCAAAATTTGGCATATGCCTCTTTAGTGTGCTGCCCCTGCCCACAGTCGTGATTTTTTTTTTTTTTTTTACTGTGTATACAGAGGTATCTGAGAGGAAACATAAAATCCCAAAGGAAAGTGCTGGGTGGGGAACATGCAGCCCTCTTTCAGCAATTAAATCTGAGGTCTGCTGTCCAATCTTTTTAACTTCATCAGGGAGCTAGACCTTTAGAAGAAAGACAAACAGATAAAAACATAAAAAAAAAAAATTAAATAGCATTATAGGGGAAAGACATTACAGCCTATTTACAGTCGCCAGCAGCAAAGAGGAAACTGAGGCCTACACCAGCCAAACGGCCTGGTGTGAAAAGTGAAATTATAAAGCAGAGCAGAGAGAGGGAAACTAAACCTGTTTGGATTCATGCGATCAGGTGCGTACAGGGAAGACATCTGCAAGCTGAAGTTTCAGGGTTGCTAAAAACAAGGAGGCGCCTCCAGAGCGGAGCTGCCATTTGGCTTAACAAGAAATACAGGAAACGAAGGGGCTCTTGCAATCACCCGAGCGATAGCCAGTAATGTTCAGCTGCAAACAAGCAATAAGGAAGCGGTGTGCTATTAGACAGCGAGCATTATTATCAAAGCCAAAGGATTTATTTTACCTGATCAATTGTGCACAGACGTCCCCCTGATCAGCTCCATGGAGTCAGTTTGGTTTCGATCAAAGTCGACTGCGCGCAGCTCCATAGAGGGTTTGTGCGCAGCAAATGTCACAACTCTGATAAGTTCTCATCGAGTTTCGCTTCGCACAAAAAAAGGCGATCCAGTCTGTTTGACAGCAACACGGAAATACGCTCCAAAGTCCCGTCAGAGAAGCAGGAGTCTTTTTAACGCAGTAGTTACAATGTTGCACACTGTATCCGCAAAACCGTGCACTTCCAGGAAAACATGTCCACAACTTCCCCCCCCCTCCCTGCACCACAGCGTAACACGCATCATACTGCTGCTGCATGCGGTGAAATGCTGCCGTGCAGCGGCTGCTAAGAGTACTTCCCCAGAAAATTCTGATTTTTTTTTATTTTATTTTTTATTTTTACTTTTTTTTTTTTTTTTCATTTCGAGACTTTAGAGCGCTGCGAAAATGCGCAGATGGGCAAACAAAAACAAAAACGTTGGTCCCCCTAAACGCCTCACCCCAAAACAGCTCAAGTCACATCCTGCTGTCCAATCCAGTCCTCTGTCGGGCCCAACGTTAACTCCGTGGACGCTTGTTTTACTCATCAGTTTGTCCCGGATGCGGAGTCCCGCCACGCTGCTAAAGGTCGTTATTGAGCCACAATCAAGATTTCACAACCACGTAGGTCAAATCATTTTTAGCCTCTTAATTATTGCAATATACAGCACTCTAAACTAATTATAACATGTATTTTAAAGGGGGGAAACATGTTTAATAGCCTGTTTTGGGCGGTAAAGAGACTAAGCAAGAAATAAAAGAGTTAGGAAAGTACTTGTAATAAATAACCAAAGGAAAAATAGAGCATTTCAGTTCAAAAAAATATGACAGAATATTCATCGTTTGACTATATAACTAGAATAACAGTAAGGAGATTAAATAGAACAGTGAAAATAAAAGATATATACAAATATTTACTTATATGTAATTAATTTAACCATTTACATATATAACCCTAATTTTGATCAGTTAATTGTATTTACTGGATCAGTCATTTACATTTTAAGCTTATATTTGAGTAATGCATTATTCTAAACGGCCTTTTTTTCCATTTCTTTGTGTATTTTGTATTATGGCAAGATTGGTATTCCACAAAACAGAACACTAATCTAATCAGATAATATATTTTGAGGGGGAAAGCAAGTTTTTAAGCACATTTTGGTGGTAAAAAAAAAAAAAAAAGAGAGGGAAGGAAATAAATAAATAAAAGAGAACAATTAAACACCAATCATTTACTTGTAATAAATTATCTATGGAAAAATACAGCATTAGCATAGCATACAGCAGTAAAAAAAAAAAAAAAGACTAAAAATGGAAAGAATAAGTATAAAAGTGCAGAGATCAAATTTGCCAACTAATTATATTAGAGAGTCATTTGTCCATTTCTTGGTGTATTTTTAATTATGGCAGGATTGGTCCTCCATAAAATTCAAGCAACTTCTCAACTGATTACAAACTGCATTATTCTTCATTTTAACCAAGAGGTCTGCCACTGTAAGAATATGAACGTATCTCTCCAAATATAACACAATTATATGTTACATATTTCAGGGAGCTTCCAGCTAACACAGCAGAGGCCAGGAAACATTAAGACTCTCTTTCAGGGTTGGAATGAACAAGTTTCTCCTGATAGCTGAGAACAAGTTAAGACAAACCATCACATTGGAGCCTTTACTGTGTAATTAAAGTATTTGCTCTGCTAGACTTTAGAAAACAGACTTTGTCTTAAATACTATGAAGCTTCTTACATTTTCTTTTTTTATTTAGCTCATCCCCTCTGAGTTGCTTCAAACTCTCACTTGAATAAAATAGCATCCCTACAACAAAATGATGCCACTGGCATGTTTTACTCTACAGAAAAGTTCCCCATCAACCATATCATCGTAAAAATAGGCCAAAAGTTGTTTTTTTATTTCTCATCTGTGATTCTCTTACAGTCTGATGACAGATGTAAAACACGTCTTGTTCTGACTGTCTTTCAACAAAGATGTCTTTGTCAGTGACATTGCATCTGTGCTTCAGTTAAACTCCCCACACTGAGAAACTATCAAAGGTAAATACAACATGATCAACCCTTTCCCCCCCCAAAAATCCATAAAAATGAAAAGTGTAGCAATACACTGATCCACAATAAATACATTGATTAAATTATTAATTATCCAAAGCCATTAACTCAAAATGAATTCATTTGTATTAATTTATTGTCATGTTTAAGATCCACTTTCATTTGAAATTTACATGGCTGCAATCTATTATTATTCTTTTCTTTAAGAAATTAAAATATAATTTTCAATAACAGAGTTTGATGCCTGGTCCAGTATAGTTGAGTTGTTTTATGTTGTGAGTTTATATCAATGTTAGTCATTGAGTTAGATGCACAGATGACATTGCATCACATCCATCACAGACTTGTGAACTGAAACAAATGGAAATTGCATCGTGACAAACTTTGTGATATATTGGCAAGCATCTTTTCACCATCCAAGCAAACTGATCTAACAAGTACTGTGATAAAACTGGTGATTTGTTCCACTAATTAGGAAAATAAATATAAATAAAGATCTGCTTTATTGGGTTAGTTCCCTAATTGGGCAAACTTGTTAAAAAAATAAAAAATTGTTAAATGATATTGTTTTTGTTTAGTACATATGAACTGTATTTGCTAATTTGGAGTCTTATGAAGGGAGTTCCACAACACTCATAAGGGGCAACAGACTAAAGACGATCAAATGCAAATACCCTCTAAAACTTTCAAATTTTTTATTCCTATTCTAATTTGAAAATAATCATCAAACGTAAAATCTCAATAAAATGCAATAGTTATGAAGTGTGCATTTGTCCTATAGTTTAGTAAAATCTGAAAAAACGTGGCAAAAAACAGTCTTGTATGTTCTTTTTTTTTTATCTATTGACATGAAAAAAATACAAGAACAAAAGCATGAGTAATGGTAGCTTAAATGATGCTTTGTAACGTTAGTTTGTGTCTAAAATTTGTTTTTTCCAAGTAGAAATTTAAGCAACTTAAAGATATGAACCAGAAAATAAAGCGAGGTTTATGTTTATATCCTGTGGGCTGGAGAATGGATCTATCCTCTATAGTTTAACTGTCTGTTATTGTAAGAAAAATTACCTGATTAGTTTCTACAAAGCTAGACTATTTATATAATAAACTAATTTGCTGTACTATTTGATAACTCCTGATCTCTGTTTTGGGGATGCAGGAGTGTCTCAACCAATCAGAAGCCGCAAGACATGTGGCGTCACAGCTCATCGTTCCTTAGCAGCCCGCTGGCTAACTCGGACAGCTAATCTCAGCTATGGTCCACCACCAGCACCCATGTTTGGTCTGGTAAATAAGAAGGAGTTTGAAAAGACTCATCTACCTCTGGGTGGTTTGGAAATATGGAGTCTGCTTGGATGTTACACACTAACCGGTGTCGCAGAGCTGCATCAAAGCCAGGTAAAAAAAAAAAAAAAAAAAAAAAATGGAGAAGGCTGCCTCCTAACGGTTATCCACCAGGAAGCATGCTAATTAGCTAACTGCCAGGACGAACGGAGACATTTAAACAAGATTTTTATGCTGTTTCAGTTATGTAATCGCATCAAACTGGTCGAATCTTTCCCCACCCTCTGATTCCTGCTCTGCTCTTTTGGCTATGCAGTGCTTTGGCTCTGCTTTAAATAAAAAGAAAAACCCTGCTAGCTTATATCCTTCTATCTAGCTAGCGTCTTATAAGTGTTCCATGGAAACGGTGAAATGCTCATGGGTCATTGTGTGGCTGTACAGTGTTTGCTACAACATAAATGACCCACTGTTATGAAGCTGCTGAGGTTTGTTGTTGTTGTTATTATTATTATTATTTTTTTTTTCTTAGTGAGGTGCTTGTGACACTGATGCCAGCAGAGAGCACCCAGGATGAGTGGAGCTGTAGAGCACACGGACATCCTATCAGTGGGTGATGTGGTCAGGGACAGGTGGAAAGTGGTAGGTGTCATTGCTTTAAAGTAATCAGATTTATGAATGCATAACTTTGTTTGTTCTCTCTCCAACAAATATCATGGCTTAACTTTCCAACCTGATGTTTAGGCCAAAAAGATAGGAGGAGGTGGGTTTGGGGAGATCTATGAGGTCCTGGATCAGCTGAGCCAAGCCACTGTTGCCTTGAAGGTGGAATCTGCTCAGCAGCCCAAACAGGTGCTAAAGATGGAGGTGGCAGTGCTAAAGAAGCTTCAGGGTAAGATATGAGAAATCGTAGAATGTAACTCAAGAGTCTCTTTATGAATAATTTATAACTTGTAATTTGCTGCAAAATGATTCACACTCTTGGCAGATGAAAATTCAACATAATGTTCGGTCTACTGAGGTGAAATATAATCAGTTGTTCAAGAGTTTCTGGTGGATCTAAATCTGTAAACTATTAAAAAGGAATTCTGCATTCCTCTTCTGGTAAACACTGTTTTTTTTTCTTTGGTCTGAATTGGCAATTCCAATTTTGACAAATAAGGTGTGTTTTTTTTTAAAGGTTAAGACACATACCAAAGCAAAAATGAAATCTAACAGTTCAAATATCATGTTAGAGACTGATGTATTCATAAGTCGGTATTTTAATGAGGTAGTTAATAAATAATACCAATTTAACAAACCAGTTTGGTTTATACAGTCTGAATCATACAACATATCTTTCCAATAACCATTAGCTCTTAACTCTCAGATTTTCTTTTAACAAAACTTATACTTTTCCTACTTTTCAAAACTTTCCAGTGAACAAGTAATCCTTTTATCCAGCCTGAATTAAAATATGTTCAGAAAGTGTTGTATCATCAATAGTGTATTATTTTCTGATTATTTGGTGCCATTATTTGGCTAGTAATGCTGTCACATTTTCTAAATGCTATCTTCTTTTTGCTTTAGATCTCTCCCACTTCTAAGTTCTCATAGCCTCCATTTCCTAATCAAAATGTTCAGTTGATGTACTCAGCAGTGCAGTGCTGTTTGGTTTTGCATCTACATCCATCCAAGGAAATCAATAAATCCTGTTTGAAATGCAGTCTATATATATATATATATATATATATATATATATATATAAATAATCTTTTTTTTTTTAAGCCCATCTATTCCTATTTTGCTCAGAATTAAAAAAAATTTTTGTTAAATAAATGAAGATTCATTGCAATGACATAATCTGTGTCTGCTTGTGTTTTCACACATCTTTATGTCTGAAACCAGCACACCGCATTTCTGTTAACAGATTTAAATCTGTGTCTTCCTTTTTGAACAGGAAAAGATCATGTTTGCCGCTTCGTTGGCTGCGGCAGAAACGACCGCTTCAATTACGTAGTAATGGAGCTGCAGGTGACACTCTCGCTGTCTAACTCTTGAATGGTGTTTAACCCATTCGGAATATTTGATCATTTTGTTTATGCAATATTAAAATCCTTTTCATAGGGGAGGAATCTGGCAGATCTGCGAAGAACAATGAGCCGCGGTACTTTTTCAATCTCCACGACTTTGAGGCTGGGGAAGCAGATTTTAAAAGCCATTGAGAGCATCCATTCTGTGGGCTTCCTTCACCGTGACATTAAGCCTGTATGTTTATCTTTACGGTGTGATTTGTGTGTGATAGATCATCTGCATATTATAAGCTAATTCTTAATTAAACTAATGTGAACTTGTTTTTCTGTCAACTTTGCAGTCAAACTTTGCTATGGGACGACTTGCCAGTACCTGCCGATGCTGCTATATGTTGGATTTCGGATTAGCTCGACAGTTTACCAACTCCAACCAGGAAGTCCGTCCAGTAAGTGCTATAATTACAACTATTTGGGCTTCTTAAATAAAAAATAGAACATCTGTCAATAATTTTGAGAGAAATATTAACAAACATGACAGTTTTTGAAATAAAAACTAGCATGTCAAATGAAGCTATATTTTTTTTGAGGCACTTTTTAAAGTACGAGTATTACAGTGTGATTGTATTCTAGTAAATAGTCATTCTCTTTCAGCCTCGTCCTGTGGCAGGTTTCAGAGGAACGGTGCGATATGCTTCAGTCAATGCTCATAAGAATAAGGTGAGATTTTACCAAAACACGTAGACTGTCCCACAAATGGTTTGGAATATATTAGTTTGTTCCGTTTACTGAGAAAATGTAGTATTTTCAATTTTACACTCTCTGACTCCAGCCATGGTGGCAGCAGTCTTTCCTTTTTTTTCTCTTTGCAGCCTTTACATCAGAAAGTTAAAATTTGCTTTTTTCACTTTGAAATATGTTGTTGTATACAAGCTTGGTAAAAAGTTCTGTTCACATTGATTACATTAGGGGCTAAGCCTTATTCTGCCCTAGATATTAAAGATTGCACTGGAATGGAGACATCTTAAACACAGGTTGGAGAAATAGAAGTGAAGAAAATATTAAATAATAAAATAATGAAAACTGAAAAAAATATATATTTATAAGTTTCATTTCTTTTATTGGATTTAATAGTGTTTGGAAAAGTTAGCAACACTTATTATTTCACATGCAAGTAACCATAGGTGCTGTTTCAGAAATCAGTGTGACTCTGGTCAGCTTTAAGCCTCATGACTGTATTTGGTTTCACTCACATATTCAGCATATTGTTTAGGTTTTGCACATCCAACTGGATTTAAAGCACAGCTGTCTTGCTAGTAGATGTACGTACAGCTGTGAATAATCCAGCCTTTTAACCAGGAGGTGAATGTTAGCTGGAAAGCAGCTGGTATCTGCTCCAGTGTGCCTCAGAGCATAACCCTACTCTTTAGAGTAAAGAGAGGCTTATCAGACATGGGAGCAACCGTTTTCAGAAATAACTGAATAAATATGGGATGCGTTGTTATTACTTTAAGTCATTTATTTCCTAAATAGTTAGTCTGCTGAAAATGCTTGTTGTTTCTTTATATTGAGTAACTGGATCATATTATTTTAATATAACACTTTTTTTAAAAGGTGCATCTAGTCTCCCTTATACTCATCTGTGTGTATTTGCAGGAGATGGGTCGCCATGATGACCTGTGGTCCCTCTTCTACATGCTGGTTGAGTTCATGGTTGGACAGCTTCCCTGGAGAAAAATTAAAGACAAAGTATGCACCTGTTTTCTTTCAATTTGTTCTATAACCAGTGTTCACAGATGGCTTCAGCTGCTTATTTTCTGACCCCTCTCTCATCTTAGGAACAAGTAGGAAATCTAAAAGAGACGTATGACCACCGGCTAATGCTAAAGCACCTTCCTCTAGAATTCAACACTTTCTTGGATCACATCTTGACCTTGGATTACTTCACCAAACCCGACTATCAGGTTTATTTTTTTCTTTTGTTTTGAAACATTTTCTCTGCCCTGTTTTCGGTGTCTCCAAGCTTAAAATGCTGATAACTGCTTTGTTTTTATGAAACAGCTCCTGATGTCTGTGTTTGAGAAGGCCATGAAGAGCAACAATGTGTTGGAGAACGACCCGTACGACTGGGAGAAATGTAACTCGGAGGATGTGCTGACCATCAGTGCCGCAGCAAACACTGCTCAGCAGCTTACTCGCCTCACCCCAGCTTACCTCGGGTAATTGAAGCTGAAGAAATCTCTCTTCACGTTTATAGTTATTACTGCAATCATTTTTATTATTCCCTCTAGGTAGATTTTATGCCGTTAGGATGATATTCAGTTCTCCGTCACACTCTGTTGGAACCATGTTCCAGCATAAAGCATAGGTGCTGCTGTTTTTAGAGCAGGAATCTGCAGACTCAGAGATCCCTGGAAAATCACAGCTCTAAAGGATTTAGTGGAAATGAACCTCAGAGTGACCTTCCCTCTTATCATTCTCCAGCATGGCCAATGCCTCAGTGCTGCCGGGTGAGCTGCAGAGAGAAAACACAGAGGACGTCCTTCAAGGGGAACGCCTCAGCGACGCCGATAACTGCCCCCCCATCCCCACACCGACCACCGCCGGTGGAGACGTGTGGGAGGAGATGGATCGCAACCGCAACCTTAAACATCCTCAGCCACTGATCGGGAAGGTCAGGATTGTTGTTTACTATGAACGTCCCACATGAAGCTCAGAAGCTTCTACATTCAGTTCTGTGCTGAAGTTTGTGAACACTTTATTCATTTTAAGTGTTTAATTTTTCTTCACTAAGTTAGAATTTATAATTTTTTTCTCAGGATAAAACAAAGCTTAAAGGGAAACACCGTGTTTTTTACATTGGCCCCTTGATTTTACATTATTACATCATGTTCTACTCACCCATATGAGTTTTGCGTCATTTGGAGATGTTCTGAAGATATTCCGTTAGGTTATATCCAAGTAACGTCTTCCTATGGGCAACGACTTGAAGGCACAAACTAAACTGTTCATAATTTATCATTTATGGTACGCCAGCATGCATAACATGTAGGCGAATCACTGTCCCCCAGACATCCGCGGTTGTATTTTTTAATATTCATATTTTTTTAAAACAAAGCGGCGTGTGTATGATGTCATCCGCGCGCGCCGGCTACTGTTCATTCATCCTGTTCGCTGAACTGCTGCTAGTTTTATTCGCATGCCTGGAAGATGTCTAGTGCTACTATCACAGATGATCTCGCTCTCGAAATGGAATCGAACGATTCAGATTAGCTAGCCAAATGAATAGAAGGGGTAGAGCGTAACCGCCTGTGGCCCGGGCTGCCTGTCACAATTCCAGTCCGGCGCACGGATCAATATTGATATATTGTTAATATTAATATTGTAAACATTATGGATATCCGATGGGAGAATAATCCAGAGTTTGGGGGCAGAGTGAGAGAAAGCTCTGCTCCCAAAGGTACTGAGGCGGAATAAGGGAACAGAGAGATGAACTGAGGAGGACGATCTGATAGGAAGGTGAGATGTAGTGGATGACCTTTAACGTAAAGAGAATAATTTTAAATTGAATTCTGAATCTGAGTGGGATCCATGTTTGCAGTTTTCTAAGGTGCCACTGTATTATTTTATGGATTATAGGATGTGTCCTTGTTGCTGTTCTTCAGGTAGTGAGTGAGGATGAACACAGCCAGAACCAGGGGAACCAGAGTCCGAACACCGGCTCTGTGCAGAGTTCACCCAGACGGGTACGATCTGAGACGATGTTCCTAGACCGAGCTGCACCGCTGCTCCGCAGGATGAGGCACAGCCAGAGCTTGGCGTTTGAAAATAGACTCGTGCCTGAGCCAAAGCCCACCATTGAACGTTTGTTTGAAGCATAGTAAGAGCTCCTTGTAAAAAATACTATTAGCAAAAACTGAAACCTAAAGCAAATGTCATTATTGATTCTCCTTCTTTCTGTCAGCTTGGGCAAACAGCGTCCGGTCCTCTGTCACGTTGGGGAGACGCCCATTCCCGAGAATGGACAGGAGCAGCAGAAGCCTTCCTGCAATGAGGAACAGTCTGGAACAGCAACTCCTGACCCGGAGGAAGCTGCGGCGAGCAGCGGCTTTGTTGCAGTGAACTTTAGCCCTGTGCCTCAGGAGGCGGACTCTCAGGAGTGGGTGATGCTGGAGCTGGAGCAGGTCAACAGCTCAGGAGGAGGCAAACTTCAGGCAGCATCCCAATGCGAGGACAAGTCAGGCCCCTGTGGGGCTGAAAGAGCTGAGAATAAGTCCAATGAGCCGGATGGCGAGGCCAGTCCTGCAGTACCCAACAGCCCAGTCCTGTTACAGATGGCGGTGCCCGGCACATGGTTACTGGGCCACAGGAGGCTGCCGGGGATGCTGGGACAGATGCCTTCTGTCTTAATGGGGAGATCCCAGATGGAGCAGGTAGGATAACAAGATTTCTTTCTACTAGGACATAATGAGAAGCAGCAGGACTCTGATCTCAACAAATTAGTCTGAACTTTAGGTCAGCTGCACATGGAGCAAGCTCAGTGTTATCTTATTCTGTTAACTGGGATTAAAATCCAGATTTCTTTGTCAAATAAATGTGTTTTACTGTAATTAAAATTTACTGTTAACCTTTAAATTATGACATTGAAATGTAAATCTTTGTCCAACTCAATCGATCGTTTTACTTTCATTTTCAATTGGACTTATTCAAACGATGGCATCACAAAATTCAAGCAGATGCATTTCAGGTTGATCCTAGTTAGGTTTTAGTTGATTTATGAACTGCTGACACTTAAAAACAGAAATTACATGAATTCAGATAAAAAGACTCAACTAAAAATATTATAGAACTTACTTTTAAAGCTCTTCTTACAGTTTGAATAATGTCTATAACTGTTTTCAGTCCTCCAACTTTGCACCACTCTCTCCTGTACAGAAGAATGATGAAGCACCTAGCTGCAAACCTGAGGAAGTTGCTGAGGAAGGCTTGAAGGACAGAAGGAGGTTGGACTCAGTGCCAGAGTTAATCCCTGCCAAAGGCCCTACGTCTCACCTGACCAACGACAGAGACCCAGAAAGCGATTCAGGTTTGCCTGACCGCTCCTCAGAGCCAAATCAGCAGCCTCCTGCTGACACAGCAGGGGGCGCCGTGGAGAGCACCGTCACCGTCTCATCTTCCCCGCCTCCTGCTCTGCTAAAACGAAGGGACTCCCCGTCTTCTCCGAGACTAAGTCGGATCCCGGTGAGAGATCCCAGCAATCCGCTGGACTCTCCGAGCAGGGACCCGAATGTGGAGCGACGCCACCGCTGGAGCAGCCCAGTGGTCGGCTCTCCCACACACTCTCCCTCTCCCTCTTTGTCCTGTGACAACCTGCCCTGCGCTCTGCCCAGAGACAGGCTTTCCTCAGAACGTGGCTCTAGGTCTGACTGTGTGGGAGAAGACCCCCTGTCCCTATCCTCCTCATCCGGAAGTAGAAGTAAAATCCCTCGTCCTGTCAGCGCCACGTTTCTCCCGGAGCAGCTCAGCGGAAGGTTTTTGCCTCGGCCACCTCCTGGGAAACCCCCAGTCCGTCCATGTGTGGACAGCAGGTATATAAGCTGCACAAATACCATCAAGATGAGAGTATTTCCCTCAAAATTACTATGACCCCTGAAGTGTGATTAGAATGAGGCAGGAGTTTGCTGTGGTTTACAAAGGAACAGCCTACATCTCTGCCTGGCTGCTGGTTTTAATGTAATTTAGTTTCTGGTTTGCCTGTTTCAGAAATGTGCAAATAACAGCCGATAAAATTAGAATGATTTATTTCACTCGATTGGTTTAGATATAAAGAAATAATGAACTTTTTTTCTTTGCCAACCTTAAATGCTTCTCTAGAGTGACATTCCTACAAGGGCTGAAACATTTTAGCTGACATATACTCTAAAACGTGCTATACTCTGAAACTTGTTTAGAGTAGAAATAAAGCAGAAACTGAACAGAAAACACATCAATTTTGTATTTAAGAATCAAACCTTTTGTCTCGATAGGTTCGGTCTGAAACTAAAGTAGTTACATATTTATCAACAGCTGTTTTGATTCTTGAAATGATTTGAAGGAATTTACATTTCTCAAATCTCTCTCCAGACGGCGGCGTCTGAGGGTGCGCGCCAGCAGCACCAGCGACGCAGACTTTCTCGCCAGCCTGACCCAGCTGATGCAGGATCGTGGCGGGATGCTCTTCAGCCCTCCTCCTCGCCCTCGCAGCTCCTCCTCCCTGCAGCGCTCTTTAAGCTCCTCCCCCTCCCGACAGGAGCTCCGTGACAGCACCGCCCTGCAGGAACGTAGCCGCTCTCCATCAAGTCTGTCGGGCTCCCCGCCCCCTCGACACCCTCAGCCGCAGGACAGGGCCTCTCCGGGGCCGGCCCAGTGGGGTCTTGGCTCCAGAGGAAAAGCTCTGCTCTATGAGGGTAAAGCCTACGGAAAATTGACTTGATGACTGAACTCACATACGACTGACTCACCCCAACCACCATGTCTGTTAGCATGTGTAAATATAACATTTACTGAAGGGAATGTACTGTATTTAATGTAAAATGTATGATAAAAATGTATTTATTTATTTATTCAGATGTGAAAAAGTGGAGAAAATGTCAAGATTGCCAACTTTACCTCTCATTTCACTCTAATCAATCTATATTTAGGACTAATGAAACCAAAATAATCATGTTTAATACTTAAGATGTAAAATAAACCCAACTAACTGTAGATATGTACTATTAGCAAAAAGAGCACTAAATATATAAACCATGTGTTCACTGTAGAACCACTAGAACGGTAACCAACCATGCAATCGGTTTGTGTAAATCAGCATTAATGTACAGAGCCGGCGCATGCTGCACAGACGTCATGTCCTCAGACGACTAATCCTTGTATTTGATGAGAAGCTGCTCATTTTTTGCTTATCTTAGTGTTGTAGTGTGCTTTTACTTTTATAGGAAGATATTATCACGCTCTACCAGCTTCTAAGAATGTATGTTAAGAGCAGTATTGTAATCATGCATGAATATCCTTACATAGTTTTTTTTTATTTTATTTATTTGTACAATCTGCTGAAGCATATATGTGTTTTACTGAACTGGTTCTGATTTAATTTAATGGAATATGGAATGTCTTTCAGGTGTTAGTTGAGGCGGGTGTGGTGGTAAATGGAATACTTGACCAGATATAAAAGGAGAGAAAATTAGAAACTATGTGGATCTGAATGGAAACTAAACATATTTCAATAAAGGTAGATTTGACCGGTACAGTCAATCCATTGTTCTAAGCAGAGGCTTTTTTTTTTAATATAATGTAATGTGAATTGCTAAGATTGGAGTCTGAAATTTTAATGACATTTTATTATAATATTCAGTTAAAAGAATTGAAAATCTTAGTTTTCCTGTTGATCATTGATAAGAAGCTCAAATACTGATAAATCCATTTTTTCTTCCCCCCATTTATAGAAGGCATCAAAAGGGAAAATTCACATTTTTTTTTTAAATGCATCGACTAAAATGATCTGTTTGATGGGATGGAAAAATCATATAAGGGTTTAAGCACATTTGCTTTGATGCATAAACAGGATAATCCTGAAACCTTTATTTCCTGCTGGATTATAAGCTACCTCTGCCAAGACACCAGCAGCTTTTTCCCCTTTATTTTTATGGTCAATTATTGAAAATATTTAAACCACAGTGGCTTTATAAAAAAAAATCACTTAGAATATCAAATTATTTCAGTAATTCAGCTGAAAAAGTTAGACACATTTATAGATTTGGAACGCAAAGTTGTTTATTTTTTTTTTTTTTCAGTTTTACTATCATTTATAGCTTCTGAAACTCACAACAAGGCTTTTAGTTAGAAATATAAAATATAACTGAAGGATCATAAAAGATTTTGAGAGCAGAAATGTTTGCCTAGTAAAATATGTCCAGCTGTGATACCAGAGGGAAGATAGCAGCTCTACTGAGGCTCTGCCTTTACCATCCAGAGCCGTGATTTACAAACATGCAAAATGTACACATCTGGAAAGAAGGCAAAAAGATAGAAGAGGATTAGATGCTTTGAATATATAATATTTGCATTTTGTATTAAACTTAACTTATATATTTATTTATAGAGGAGCACCTAGGAATACACTGTAAAAAGTATTCCTACCCCATCAGAAATGTTCTGTTTTAGTAAGTTGCTCATAGTTAACCAAGCGTTCATATCTAGGATAACTTGGGCAAATACAAAATCCAGTTTTCCTTAGAATCAAATATATCCAAAACCAAACCTTTTGAGGAAAAGTAAACAGCAGATATATTTGGGCTTTACATCAATCGGTGAAACAGTACAAAAATCTTATTAACAGTCAATTGTCAAGTAAAATATAGATGATTTTGGTCCTTGATAAAATTTAAAAAAAAATGACTGTTCTGCTCAACTGCCAATGTAACAAAGAGCATATCAAAATAAGTTAAAAGCAAGCAGCAAACTCTTGTGCAGGGAGAGATCTAAACCCTTTGAATATTCGATGGTTGGAGCACTTCAAGGGCGACCAGTGTCAGATCCATGTTGATAACCTTTAAGGTTTGTCATGCGGTTTAGAAGAGAGGTGCAGACTGTCTGGGGTCATCTGGCAACACGCTGATGGAGTCCTCTGCCTTTCCACACAGCATGCAGAGCATGGTGTACTCCTGCATCACACAATACAGATACACAAGATCCTCTGAGCAAATCTGTGGAACACTGCCAGAACAGTAAAGTAATCTAACACGATACCTGATATTCGTCTACAACGGAGAAGGTGTACTCGTGTCTGGCGATAACGTGGTCGCAGTTTTTGCAAACATCTGGAAAGAGATCAGTGAAATTATTGTCAAAGTGCAGATGATGGAGCCCAAGGAGACAGCCTGACTGAAAGAAATTGGACAAAGTCTAGATGATCTGTAAGGGCCTCAGATGTTTGTAAGGGAACAGAATACACATACAGCCACATAAAGATACTGGGCTAAGTTGTGGAGGGTGAGGTCATAAAATAACCGCTTTTTTCAGCACTGATCAGCTCAGGGAGGGCGATTGTTAACCATACAAAGATGAGTAAAACTATGACCTGTTACCCTGAACATACTATCCCCAACCAGAGGTGTCAAGTAATGAAGTAAAAATACTTTGTTACTGTACTTCTGTACACTTTAGGTATCTATACTTTACTCCATTACTTATTTTTCTTCCTACATCTGACTTCTACTCATTACATTTTCACACAAGTATCTGTACTTTCTATTCCTTACATTTTTAAAACAAACGTTACTCGTTACTCTTGGCTTCGGTTTAATGTTTATGAATATTTATTTCATGCGCGCCATCCAATGCAGATCATTGTTGCCATCCACATCTGTGAAAACTGGTGTAATTGGATGAGTCATATAACGCAAACACTCATTGGTTAGCTAAAGGAAATCATCAGAATCATCATGCTACAATTTTGGATTCAGAAAAAGATGTTGAAATGTCTGAAAGGTCGGACACAGGCGAGAGCGTATCGGGAGATGGAGACCAACAAGACCTCCCTCATCCTTGGACCTATCTCAAAGAATTTTTCCAAATAGTCGTAAAATTGAGCTTTCAATTCATATAGTGGCATCTTGCTGGTTTTTTTTAAAGGTTACTTTATACTTTTATACTTTAAGTAGTTTTTGGAGCACATACTTTTTCACTTTTACTTGAGTAAACGGGTCAAGTTGATAATTCAACTTTTACCAGAGTGTTTTTAAACTTAAGCAACAAATGTGTGTACTTTTGACACCACTGTCCCCAACATAAAACACGGCGGAGGCAGGCTCATGCTATGGGGATGTTTTCCTCAGGCACAGAGAAGCGGTTCATGAGTAAGGCATCTATGGTAGAACTTAAACATGTAATATTTGCAGAAAAAAAATTTAACTACCAAGCATCTTTTCAAAATTAAACTTTTCAAGATTCGTTGTAAAACCTAATCTAACACGTTGCTATAAAAGTTTACTCTTTCCCTAGATATTTGCACTGTTTTATGTTTTGTCAATGACATTAAATCAAATTTTTTTTTTTTTAGTTTTTTTTTTTTTTAAAGAGACTAAATGCAAACACAGCTTCAACGAGGACTGTTGCAGTCTAGAGGTGATGTGAATAGAACAGACACTAACGGTCATATGTGACGAGTTCCTCCCCATCTTCATCCTCGGTGGCCTTGTTGCTGATCAACACGAAGTCTCTCTGATGACAGCTCGCACAGCCCAGATAGTTCATCAGGTATGAGCCGTTCTCCAGACAAGTGTTACCCTAAAAAAGGTGTCCACATATAAATACAGTTTAAAGTTACTCTCAAAGATAAGTCAGCAGTCTCGTCTTACCCGGTCTGGATACTCTTTATGCACACAACCGTTGCACATTTTGACCTAAAAACATATCCAGTAAGACCTAAAAAGCTTTCACAGCAACACGCCCAAAACAGCTAAATTTCCTTCTTTTTCTTCTTCTATGGTGCTTTATGGCAGTTTACAGAGTATGTGTATGACCGCCATCAACTGGATGGAGATGTAATTCAGAAAAAAAAGGCTAAATTAAATACAATCCTCTCATCTAATTTTGTGTCTTTAAAATACTTAATAGGTGCTTTAACTATATCATGTAATTGATGCTACCTTAATAAATTAACTGTACCCTTTCCAGTTCTTTCCTCTCTTTTCAGCAAAATTTCTTCTTTTTTTAAAGAGCTTCTTCTTCTTTATGGAAATTTATTGGTGGTTGGCACGCAACGGACTGGTGCATTACCGCCACCAACTGGTATCGAGTGTTGATCTGAATGGCTACTACCTACTTATACTGAACAAAACCAAATAAAAAAACCAACAAAACCAAAAGATTCAAATCCTCTTAATTGCATTGATTAATGTAAGATAATGAAAAACAATTACATAACACTTATCTCTTGAGTTGAAGTAGAATTTATTTCAAATTCTTTTTTATGGCGGTTGTCAAGCAACTTATTGATGTGCATTACCGCCATCTACTGGAAAGGAGTGTGGTTTGGGACGCTATATATACATTCTCCCACAAAAAAATTATAAAAAATAATAATAATAATAATTAAGTTAATACATCTTATATTCTTCCAATCAAGTTCGTTTTAAGGTAATTCATTAAATAAATAAAAATAATTAGAAGTAGAAATTTGTCCAAAACATCTTTTATATTTAATTGCAATTTATTTTCTTGTAATTGACTAATTCCCTTCTCTCAACGGAATATTTAAAACAGACTAACAAAACATGTTTTACTGTCTCTTCTAGAAAACAAAAATCACAATTTCCTGTTGGATATCTCCCCCATTTTAAATAATGTGCTATTTAACCTTGTATGATCAAAACGTAATCTGGATTGTACCGACTTTTCTTTGAATACTGTAAAGCCACCTTCCAGTTCTGTCCTCTTCCCACTGATTTTGCCATTTTCCCTTAACTTTTTGTTTAATAACAGATTTTATTTCTTCTTTGCTAAATTATATCATTATATCAATATAACTATTTTTTGTGGCTTGTTTTGCATAACAGCTAAATTTAAGCTAATGCTTTTTTGAAGAAGTCTATTCTCTTCCGCGGGAGCCTGTTGATTCGATCTATAAACTATCCAAAATGAGAATGTCGCGCTAACGTGTATAGCTGGTTCCATCCTCATGTTTTGTAAATCTAACAGGGTTGACTTCCGGCGCAGCCTTTTTTGGAAGTGGTGAACGATTGGTTGACGTCGATGAAACGTAGCATACGTAGCCAAACATGGCGGCGTAAAGAAACAGAAGCATTGGCGTTTAACAGCCATGTGAAATTAGTCAGGTATTACCAATACTTATAAAAGTATTTGAAATCACGTTTCGATATTTGTATAAAGCGAAGCTGATGCAACTTTAGGTAAATGTTTTTAATGTATTCTAGCGTGGTATCTGAATCGTCTGTAGATGTAAAAAAATTTGCATGTAAAAACTCAAGAGTTCTGACTAAAAACCACGTTGTCATGAGTTTGTTTTAAAAAAAAATCTAATTTGAAGATGAAATTTTTTTTTTCTTCCAGATATAGCTTGCTGTAAAGATTGATTCTGTTGTAACATTGGATTCATATTTAGATCCGTGTAAATATTGAGGGGAATCTGGTTGTTACTTGTTTAGAAATGGCAGACCTACAATCCAAACAACAGGACGTGCAAAAACAAACGGTGAATCAGAAACATCCACGATCCTCTAAGAAGTTGAAAAGAAACTACTGCATGTTGTGTCGCAAGTCCTATTTAAAAAGGGTAAGTTCCTGCAAATGCTATCAATTTATGTTGAAATGTTTTTAAAACATCTAATATTATTTTCCAACTGTAGGAAGGACAGGATCATATGCACAGCATGCAGCACCACACTGAGCTGGAAGCGGCGTTGGGCAAGTAAGTAGGGCTATTAACAATGAAACACAATTTGTCCTGCATCCCTGATCTCTAAAGAGAAGTTTATCTATTTTTTTACTGTATTTATGATGCAACACAAGGGAATCCAGAAATGATTATCATTTGAAGGGGAGTGATGTCTTATGCAAGTCTACGAAAAATATGGAATTAGATTTTTAAGTTTTCAACCCCTGTATTATTATGGTAAAATCTTTGCATTTCGAGGCTTTTACCTTTAACCATTATATATAATTTATACCCGGTCATGTTTTAACAAGTCTATGTAAAAACTGAAAACTATAACACAGCATAAAGTGATAATGACCTATGGAAGCCTTTATGGTCTGTCTATCTTATCTTTGGAAATCTAATGTCTAAAAGCTGGGGAAAAAGTATATTTTGTGATATCTGATGTTTTATTTCTTCCTTATATACACAGAGATGCCTTGCACAGCTGCCAGGCATGCCAGATCAATTCTCTGAGTTTGAATGAATATGCCGATCACATCCTAACATCTCAGCACCAGAAAAGGTTTCAGAAGCTAAAGAAGAGTAACGCTAAGCCTGTCCCTCTGTGCAAGAGTCTGAGCCCTGTGACTATAAGGAGCATCCTGATAAGGAACAAGGAGCTTAAGAAAGAGGAGTAAGAATTTGCTTTGCAATGAACTAATGATCTGTTGCAGATCAATTATTGTGTTTACTTAGCTTAGCTTCCTTTTTATATATCTATACTGATTGAACAATTTGTATTTCTAGGAAGAAAGCCATGAGAAAGAATAAAAAGAAACAAAAGCAGAGCGCTGGGGAAAAGCGTGCAAATAAACAACATCCTGGTGTCCAAAATAGGAATATTGACCCAAAAACAAAGATGCTATATAAATCCAAACAATTGCAAGCCGGAGCTCCAAATCAGTGGGCACAAACGCCCTGCCCAGGAAACGACCACGGTGTCATTCTAAATAAAGAGAACAAAATTTACCAGAATCCTCCTCCTCCTCCATACAGACCATTCCTGGATCAGCAATGGAACCCTCCTTATCAGCCAAGAGGACCTGTGGGTCAACCTCATCCTTACCATTATGGCCGGCAGCAGCATATCCATGGTTGCTATGGCTACAACCAACAACACCAAATGAAGGCCAAAAGGTTCCAGATGGGTTCATATAACTCTCAAAGTGCTTCTGCCAACTTAAAACAAGCAATGCCTGCAATCAGCCAAAGCAACTCCAACCAGAAGAAACCTGCACTTGATGGTCACTTTACTAGTGATCAACTCGCTCAGAGTGGAGCCATTAGCTTTAATCACAACCAAGCTGAGAAAGTCAACCAAGCTCCACCAAACCAGCGGGAAACGGACCCCAATCAGCCTGGAAGTACAAACAGTTCAGCTCCAGGGGATTCCGAAAACAAATCTAGTAGTCCAGCTCCTATACAAGATGTTGACATCAGCGCCATGTTGAAGCAAATCAGGAGAGCGCTTGGCGTCAGGGAGCCGTGCCGGGCGGATCGAGAAGCCCGACGACAGACTGAAAATGTTCAAACTGAGCATCGGGATGCAGAAAAACAAGACAACGCCGAGCAGTCAGCAGCAACTCCAGCTAATACCGATGCTCTGGCCAGCAACTGTGCTCCTCCAGCTGACGCTGGTGTTTCCTTTTCCACCATTCCTCCTCTTAAGGGGAAACTGTCAACTTTTAAAGCCACACAAGAAACTAACCAAACAAAGAGTCAGAAGCTTAAAGATCGTCCAAAGAAGGATGACAAAAGAAAATCTCTGGAGGCCAGCAGTTCTCTGCCCTCAGTCAGCGGATGCACAGTGGAACATAATCCCCTCCTGAATAAGCAGCTTCACATACCTGGAGTCCCTAACAAATTGAGTTGGACTGAGATGTACGATAACATGAAAAGGAAAACCTTAAAAGGCAGACCCCGGTGAGGAAATTCTCCTGGTATGATGGGTTTAGTTATGGCTCTTCAGAATCTATTTTAATCTCTTCTTTCCTTGTACAGGTTTGGAATCCAGTTGGGAGTCCAGCCGACAGACACGGGAGGTCCTGCACAAGACAGTGACCTGCCTCTGTCTGAGGGTTTCCATTGGGAATCGATACCCGGAAACCCCTCAGTCCTGCCTCCTGTTCTACCCTCTTCACATGCTGATCATCTCAGTGAAGCGCAGACAGATTCCCATACGCAAAATTCTTCAGGGCAGCCGGATGTTGCTCAGCCAGGCTGCAGCAGCAAGACGGCGATGCAAATTTCTATGAAGGTGGAACCAAATCTGGAGGGTGAGAATGAAGATTTAAGCAGCAACAGCAATGCTAATAAAAGGCCAAGGAGTATGCTAGAAGTAAGTTGGACTTTAAGATGCAGTATTCACTTTCTTGATCTATTTGTTTTATTTAATAGCAGTGGAACTTAATTTGGGGGTGTTTTGCAGGAAGACGACATTTCCCCCAAACAGAGGAAAAGAAAATCAAAAAAGGACAGTCCAGGTACTTAAGATTCTTCTAGGGTCGAGAGTAATCCTCATCTAATAGTGTTATGATAAATGGGGATGAAAGTTTGCTTGTTGACAAACAGAAAAAGCAAAACAGAAAGTTGCAAAATAAACTCTTGAAACGGAGTATTATGGCCAGGCTGGAGATTTTTTTTTTCAGTCATAACGTTGTGAGAATAAAGTCATAAAATTACGAGAATAAAGTCGTAACATTATCAGAATAGCCGTAAAATTACAAGAATAAAGTGGTAACATTACAAGAATAAAGTCGTAATATTATAAGAATAAAGTCACAATGAGAATAGTCATAAAATTACGAGAATAAAACGTAACATTATCAGAATAGCCGTAAAATTAAAAGAATAAAGTGGTAACATTACGAGAATAAAGTCGTAATATTATACGAATAAAGTCACAATGAGAATAGTCATAAAATTAGGAGAATAAAGTCATAACATTACGATAATAAAGTTTTATTTTATGACGACTCTAACAAGAAGCACTTTCTTCCCTAAAATGAGGAATGTTGAGCATCATGTGAAGTTATACTTTGGCATCCGTTTGACAATTAAGGAAATCCTTAGCATCAGCATCAAATTGGGCAGAATATCAAAGTGGACTTGGGTTGCTGTTGCGGTGGTGCTAGTTGGCCGTCATATGCTGGTTGGAGCTCAAAGCTTTCTTTCTGAAACGGTTTGTGGTATGATGACTTCATTCTCATAACATTACGACTTTATTCTCGAAAAAAATTGAAATAAAAAATAAAACTCCAGCCTGGCCCTAATAGTCCCTCGTAATAATCCAATTTATTATTGGGAATAAAAATGTATTTCTCCTTACAGTTTCCTGCAGAATCTTATAGAACATTAAACACTGTAGAGTCCCTACAGAGCAGTGCAAAAATATGCAACTTGATTGAACAGATTTCCTATTTGGATGAGAATTGAAAAAGTAACGCAGAATTTGGGAAAATATTTGTAGTTTTTGCTCCTTTGACTCCTTCCATCTTGTCTTTTTTTATCTTGAATTCTTTTTAATTACAGCCTGACTTTATTTTTATTATTTATAATACCGGTACATTTAATTTTGACTTGGTGTTGATTGTGCAAACAGATTAGATATATATACAGAATACAGGATCTATAGTTTTATAAAATATAAAACATACTATATACAATATAATATATAGGTATATACACAGTAGACTGTGTGTTAATGTAACGCAGGAGGACTGAAGATGCTACGTTGGTGTAGCTAGGTCCTGAACAGGGGAGGGAGAGAAGCAGTATGAAGGGGTCTCTGGGCCTTGTTGATAAGGCTGGTAGCAGATGGGAAGAAACTGTTCTGGTGGCATGAGGTTTTGGTCCTGATTGACTGCAGCTTCCTGTCGGAGGGAAGTGACTGAAACAGTTTGTGGCTGGGGTGTGAGGGATCAGCCACAGTCTTTCTTGCATGCCTCAGAGTCCTGGAGAGATGGAAGATTGCAGCCAATCATCTTCTCTAGACTGGATTCAAGTAGTCTGTTAAACTGTTTTGAGTAAAGTGCAGTAGTTTTGACTCTAGTTGAATAGTTTATGAACATTAATGAAAACCATGGTGTGTCCATTTAAATCTGAAATAATTGTGTGCTGTTCATTTTGTAAAGCAATACTTGATGAATCAGAATCAGAAATACTTTAATAATCCCAGAGGGAAATTACTTTTGTTACACGCTCCAGTTACAGTTTTATATAATATATACACACATCCAACTATACAATATAATAAAGATAAAAAATAAGAATAAAAAGAGATAAAATATATACACATATAGCTCTTCTGTATATATATCTGTACGTATATCTATGCATATGTAAGAACTAAATCCAAATAAAGTGAAAATCCAAGTAAAGTGATAAATCCAAGTAAAGTAATACATGGCGTGCAAAAAAAGTGCATAAATGTCAATTACGGGGGGGGGCTGAATCACTTGAGGGAGGCGTTATAGAGATGTTAACTGCATCCAAGAGGGAAAGCACGTATGTAATGACAGGATTTCCCCTGTTAGGTGGTGCTGGTTTAAAGAATAGTTGTTCACTGCAGAGATTTTTCCAATTTCTGTGCAACAAGTCTGGATAATATTTATTTAACATTGGGCATATATAGATAAAATCTTTTAGAGTTACTTCATAGAAACAAGACAGAGAACAATAAACTTACCCTGTTTGAGCCAAAAGCTTTCTGAAAGTGGTCTGAGTAGAAGCAAAAAGCTGCTTTTGATGTTGTAGACCAGAATCAGATGGACCGGCTGCTAGCTGTCTCACTGAAGGAGGACGAGCTGAGCCACTCGCTGCAGGATCTGGACAAGGCGCTGATTCAGGCTCGCAACGCTCTGCAAGCTGCATACGCAGAGGTCCAAAGACTGCTGCTTCTGAAACAACAGGTCCCGCCAGCTGCTGATCTCTGTGCCATTCTACTTCTTTGCCTTCATGACTATCAGAGATGCTAATTTAACTATTTCCCCTTTTTTTAGTTTACAGCCGAGGTCAACAGCCTAAGAGCGAAGCGTATTGAGATTCTGCAGGGAATGCAAGGTAAGATCGTCTAAATATTTTCATGGAGTAGGGATTATACTCACAAAAGTGATCCCAAAACGGAGACTTCTTTTACCAACAGAGCAAGGAAATATGTTTGCTCTTCAAATGCTCACTGCAACATAGTCTCAGTGGCCTCAATGTATTTAAGAATAAATTGAAAATTTGAAATGTGTGCATTTTATATATGCATTTATCGCAATGTTAATAAGTTTTTTGTTAACTATCTAATGGAAAAAAAAATGGGGAAAGAGCCCAACTTCTACACCAAGATGTTATTCTAGGTATAAAAACAGAGGAGAGAGCAGCATCATTTCAGGCTGATTTGCTCCTTCCATTTAAGCCTCCACACTAAGAATCAAAATAAATTAGTAATTGATAATTGTGCTTTATTAAAGAGAGTATTTATCATCTCTATCAGAAGGATACTCGCGAGGCAATCCAGCAGAGAGCGCCTCCACCTTCTCTCCTGGCGCTGCATCCACCGGATCCTCGACTCTCTTCTCTCCCTCACTGAGCCATCCTCCGTCTGCAGCAGCTTTCATCCCCCCAGCTTATCCCGCTGGCCTCGCTCTGCCAGGTGTGTCACTGAAGCAAGAGGTGATTCACGCAGTCGCGGCTGGACAGACGAGTCAGCAGTTCTTACCCACCGCTGAGGGTTCCACCTCAACACCTCCACTGCTTCCTGAATCGTCGGCCAGGGATGGTTTGAAGAGTGTAAAGACGAAGATTTTGGACAAAGAAATGGAGCCTTCGGAATTTGTTGAAGGGACTGAAGAAAATGGAAGGAGAGAACAAGATCAAGGAAATGGGCCTTCAGGTGACAATAAAAAGAAGAAGAAATCCCCGCATGTGGACGATGAAGGCAGCGAGAGCGACAGCTCAGTGGAGGTGGTCAATCCCTCTAACCAAGAGATCATAGATATTGAAGAATTAGAATATGAACACTCAACCCAAATAGAGGCTAAAGAACAGCCGCAGGATCCTCAGACGTCTGCAACTGGGGATTTCAGAATTGCCAGCACACAAACGTCTCAGCAGTGTGAAACAGAGAGGTGCGATCGATTGGCTGAAGTGAACCTGCGCTTTGTCTGGATCTGCTGCTTTATCTGCCTTTTGTTTCTTTAATCCCACAGTAAACATAAGCCGGAAGTTCATCCGAAAGACAATCCCAATCCGCCTGAAGGTGAGGGCGTTTTTTGTTTTTTTAGCTTTCTCATATGAAGAAACACTGTTCCTGAACCTGTTGATATTTCAGCATCCGTGGAGGAAGACGAGCCATCTTTAGGAACATTTTCCAGCCACACCGGCCCCGTCAACGGCCTTCAGATCCACAACGGTCGCCTGTACACCTGCTCAGGAGACAATACGGCCCGGGCCTACAGTCTGGTGGTATGTTGGGAATTTATAAATGGCCTTCTGCAGGGTATTCTGGTTAGACATCAACAAAAAAAAAACAACATATTTGTACTTTTTCTTTCATACAATAACTGACTTTTTTCACAAGCAAACACTGTGTGATGTAGTACGCAGTGGGATGCATTTCTGTGGTTCTCTAGAAATCAGCTGTGAAGCTTGTTTTCATTGATCCAGACCAAAGAATGTGAAGCAGTGTTCGGGGGTCACACCAACAAGGTCAACTGTCTGCTGGTTTCATCTCCACCCAACATGCCGACACGGCTCTACACCGGATCCAGTGACCAGACCATCCGCTGCTACAGCCTAAAGGTACACGCCTCTCTTTAAAACAATGAATGCCACCTTAAATTGATCTTTCCTAAACAAGCTTTTGTTTATTTCTTAATTTGTAGAGCAACAAGTGCCTTGAGCAGATCTCTCTACCAGACAGGGTTCTGTGTTTGCACATAGCCTGGAAAATTCTGTATGTCGGGCTCGCCAACGGATCCGTCATCAGCTATGACCTGAAGGCAAGCAGCCATTTTACATCCAATCTAAAACCATTTGAGATTGATGTTTCTTAGTTTTACCTCTGCTGCCATTTCCTCATGTAGACTCTGAAGGAGCTGGACGTGTTGGAGTGTCACGGCCCACGAGGGGTGAGCTGCCTCGGCACCTCTCAGGAGGGCGCCAGGCGGCTCCTGCTGGTCGGGTCATACGACAGCACCATTAGCGTTCGTGACGCCAAGAGCGGGCTGCTGCTGCGGACGCTGGAAGGTCACACCAAGACTGTGCTCTGCTTAAAGGTGATGAAACACACCATCTACTATATGGTCTAATTAGGCTCTGATAACCGGCCTGAAGGGATTCCTTTACAACAAGACCCTGGATGAAAACTAATGTTTAAAGGATTATTTTCATATTATTTAGACTTGGACAAACTTTATTGTAATCTTGTTTGCACAGGGTGTATAATAAATGAAATTTTGTTGCATGAATGAGCAACTTCCAACAGTGAAATGAATATTACCATTTATAAAGTGCAGCAGTGATCAAGAATGTAAACCTTAAAGGAGGACAGGAAAACCAGTTTAAATTAATGGTGCAAAAGGCATTAATATGGAAGATTCAGTGCAGTGCAAATGAAATATGGTGCAAAATGCAGTAGAACATTGGCCCAGTCCCATTTCTCTCACTTGCACTCATTTTGGACCCATTACCCAGTTTTGCACATTCGCATGTAAGGTTAGCGTGTCCCAATAATTTTAAGAGCTATGGGGAAGTGCCCTTCAACCCTTAAAATGATCCCTTCAGACTGAGGCAGGTCAAGAGCTGACTTGGAATGAAGTGGCATCCCAGAACTCATTCAGTGAAAGGAAAAATGTTCAAAAGAACTGCACAAATGTAAGTATATGTAAAAATATATATATGTTAGGGGATATCTTACTTAGACACACTTAGGTACAACAGAATTGCTTACTGTTGTGTTAAAACATGAATATTGCAAAATCACTATTTTTCGTAATGCTCAAATCTACCTAGAGTTTTTTTTTCTTTTTACTTAAAATAGGATGATTATGACTGCGGTGGGGTTGGTTGGAGGTTGGTTTTTCTGGCTTCACGGGGTCAGCGGGATCTGGCTGGCAGTTGGTCCGATTGGGGGACCGGGGTCGGGGTCCCTCGGTCGGGGGCTGGATCCCGTTGGCTGTGCTGGGCTTGAGTGTCCAGGGTCCGGCTTCTAACTTGACCGCAGTATGATTATGCATGGCAGCTTTTAACAAAATCATGTTATCTCCATTTCAATATTGACATTGAAATTGCAACGGTCCGTATAGCAGCATAGACGGTATAAAGTTATGCATAATTGTCATCCGGCTTGTTTACTGCACAGCACACACACAGTAACTGTCATAAGGCATGATTTTTTTTCTTCAGGTTTATGAGTAATATCTCAGTAGTTCCTGGGCAAATCCATATGAAAAAAGAAAACAAATTCTAGAACGTGAACACAACCCATTGTCTCAATAAATGATTCAACATATGGTAAATGGATTAATAAGGACAAAGTAGCGTCGGAGCCGTCTTCAGTTCTGCACATTTCCTCTGTTGTTTGGCCACACAGAGAAATGTCATCAGCGCCCAAGGAAAAATAACGACTGGAGCCAGCATTTCCAAACATGTAGGAAGACAGGGGGAAAAAACACACCGAAGACTTTTTTATCTTTTGATTTATATATATCATGTATACGGGAAAATATCTATACAATATTTATAGAAGAAGAGCCAATTATATTACTGTAATTTCAAGTATATTTAGGAAAAAAAGGCAGTGGATTTGCAAAACCTCAAGTGCATTTGAGGGTGAATAGAGTTAAGATTTGAGATTAATTAATTAGGATTGGCAGGGGGAACGATTTACTGAGGCCATGCATGCCACAAAATGCTGCCGTTGGTGCGTTCTTACGGCTGCCAAGGGCCCCACCATGAGGCTGTTCCCTATAGCGATACCTTTAATGGATGAAATGTGTTGCTATGTGTTTGTTATTGTATTTGGTGCCAAGAAAATACAGTCCATTGAGAAACAATTTGGGGGTGACAGTTGGAGTGAATTGTGAAGATTTAAATAATTATTAGAGTCCATTAGGGATGCACTGTATGATTGATTTATATTCCTTGTATCGTATTAGAAACTGATATTTCATCAAAAAGTTGTCATAGCTAATTATATTACCATGATTGTCTATTAGTGGTTGTGATACCTTTATCTATCCATGCTGGCTCATAAATGGACTTTTTACATTTTGTAATACATTTGTTTTATTAAATTTTGCATGTGTTTGGTGAAAAGTTATGAGTATGGCAGGTTTCCATACAGAGAGTTGTGACTGTTGGTCGTATTTATGCATTACGTAGGTGAACACATCCCTGATGTGTACAGGCTATTTATTACCGCCATCTATTGGGCTGGGATATGATTTTACAACTAGTGGTGTCCCATTTCTTAGGCACAAAATCTTTTACACTTCTCTCATTGAGTGTACTTCACTGTGGAGGGAACGCTCTGGCAAGTTCTCAGCAAGTGAGAGAAATTGGACTGAGTCATTGAGTTATTATTATTTTCTTTTCCAACTTTTTATTGTCATTACACTGTCACAAGTACAGAGCAATGAAATGAATTCTCTGCCATTAAAGGGATTTATAGATAATTAGCGTGATGCAGAGTCCAATTCAACAGTCTGAAAAAGCTGTTACGGAATCTGCTGGACCTGCAGCGGATGCTGCGAAGCCTCTTCCCAGAGGGCAGCAGGGCGAACAGTCCATGGTGGGTGTGAGGTAATTGGGTTGAGGATCAATAGGGTGAACCAAAAACAAACAGCTTCAGCCACCGGTTCCAGTTTCTCTGTTGTCTTTTATTCCATTTCACTCTGACAAAACATTTCCTCGAGCTTCCAAGAGCTCAGGGCTTATATAATCAAGTGGCAACACACCTGCACTTGAGTGGACCAAGCCTCAATTAAACAGGTAAAATAAACAATGTCTAAACAGAGAAACAAGAATAAAATTAATATAATTTACAAACTAATCTACATAAAGAAAGAGTCTGCAAAATAGACAGTGTGATACAAGATAACTCAAAAAGTTACTTTAAAGAAAAACAAACAAAGCATAACTCCAAAGGAAACCCTCTTAATGGTAGAACCCAGCAAGGTAATGGATGACATCATTTAGTCAATTTAGTAGGAAATACTGAAACAATGGTGAGTAAAAAAGGAAAACAAAAACCATGAATATATTTTGAAACAAAATAAACAATTTCATCCAATAATCCTGAAGTAATAGCTTTAACCTAAACATAATTAGATGGAAACTGAAACATAATGCTAACACAAACAAACCCGGGATAGTAAGTGAAAGTCAAAGTTGCAAACTAATGTTTAAATCTAAGCATTACGAATCAGAAGAAAGAATAAGGGACAAGTGGTAAACAAAAACTGAACCAATTTGTCACAGTGGGGCTGTGATGGGTCACTGTTAATGAAAAGGGCTCAGGACACACAGCGCTGGGATGAATTATCCTTAATGGAGGGAATAGGAGCCCCAATGATCCTCTGCTGTTCTCACCACTCTTCTCACCTTCTCCCAGTCTGAGGAGCTGCAGCCTCCACACCACACAGTGAGACAGCTGGTCAGAACATTCTCCATGGTGCTTCTGTAGAAGGTGGTGAGGATGGGTGGGGGCAGGTGGGCTCTCCTCATCCTGCGCAGGAAGTACAAACGATTTTCTGCCCCTTCGACCAATGAGGTCAAGGGGAGTGGCAGCCAGATGGTTAGGGCATAGAGCTTTGAATCCTGAGCATCTGGGTTCGAGGCCCACTCCCACAGATTGCCACTCTGATTCTCTGAGCAGCATTGCTGCCCCCCTCAGGACACTGGCTTGTGACATTTCATGTGTGTGCATTTTGTATAAGTTAGGCTGTCGTTGGACATAAGTTTCGGGCTGGTTATGAATGCTCTATGTATACGCCCAAAATTAAAAAAATACATAGAATGTTCGGCATATGCCAGCATTCTAGAAGATTCTGGACAGCCAGGCAAATGCTGGCTAAATGGTCAAATTGTGACTGGGGCTTGTAACTAGAATTTGAGGAATGTTATGGTGCCTCTTGTGGGTACATTTGCAGCATCCTTTCTTTTGTTTTTTCCACTTTTTTGTCCTTCATAAGAAAAATCGTTTGCTCTCAAGCATCTGTTGCTTTTGAATAAAATTGTCCTAATTTGTTGGGTTAAGTCGTCCTCTTCTGTTCTTTCAGGTGGTAAATGATCTGGTTTTTAGCGGCTCCAGTGACACATCTGTTCACGCCCACAACATCCATGTAAGTTCTCCAGCTTAGACCGGAGGTTTCATGATGAAGAAAAAAGATTTAGATTAATTAATGTACAGTCAGTATTCTCTGTATTGGTTATGCTTCAATCTATGCTTTTTTTAGACGGGTGAGTTGGTTCGGATCTACAAGGGTCACAGCCATGCAGTGACATCCATCGTCATTCTGGGGAAGGTGATGGTGACGGCCTGTCTGGATCAACTTGTCCGTGTTTATGAGCTGCAGGTATTGATGACGTCCATCAGCGTTTTGGAATACAGCTTTACTTTCTCATTTACTTGCAGCTCTGAATCTGTTTGGTTTGTTTCTGTAGTCGCATGATCGTCTGCAGGTCTACGGGGGTCACAGTGACATGGTGATGTGCATGGCTGTGCACAAGAGTGTGGTAAGTGGTTACACTAAATGAGAACATTTCAATCAATGATGGGTTTTCCCAGTAGAAAAAAAAACATAGATACTGTCAATTGTTCCACAGATCTACACAGGCTTCTACGATGGCAGCATTCAAGCTGTAAAACTCAACCTGATGAAGAACTACCGCTGCTGGGTAAAAACCGGGAGAGGATCAGGAGTTTTTAACCTGCCTGTAGCGGCTCTTTTGTTGTTCTCTCTGATTGTTTTTGTCCTCTCTTCAGTGGCAGGGTTGCTCCCTGATCTTTGGCATTGCAGAGCATCTCTTTCAGCACCTGGTTAGAGAACACAGCAACCCGAATTTGCAGACGATCAAATGTCGCTGGAAAGAGTGTAACCAATTTTTCAGCACACAGCAGTCAGTCAGACAGGTGAGCCTTTTCTTAATGTTGTGCCTAAAAATGACAGCCTCTTCCGTCTGTTTAGCCTCAACGGCACTTAAAGCAAGCGGATCTGGGAATTTGCATTCTATCATGGTGTTTTCTGCAAGCTTGGAAGACATGGAAACATCCTTGCAGAAGTGTTGATCCTTTGTAAACATTGTCACATTGCAAACACACATCCAGTGTTTCATTGGGATTTAGTAGTTAAAGGTACAGTGGAGCATTTATACAAATATTTGAAAGACCCGCCCCCTCCACTTAAAAAAATAAATAAAAAATGCTCATGCACAACCCTGTACCCACTCCCAAGAACGTCTATTAAACGCATGTTAGAGCATGCATGAGCCCATTTCTCTGTTTCAAAAGTTGCTGTTTGCATACAAGCTTACTTTCCAAAAGAAGATTTGCAATTTTTCCACTATGTCAAACTCACCACCGGTAAGGGAAAATGAAAACGAGCCTTACGTAAACATATCACCAGAATGATTGACAATTAGAAGGACCACTTATTTTGATGATCCCCCTGGATAAAGAACCTCCTCCACTATACCTTTTAATATGGACCAAAGTTTTGGTAGCCCTGGAGAAGCTGCAGACGTTTAAAGGCCAACTGGGGGAATGTACTCAACATATGTCGATTAGTTCTGTACCCTAAAAACTTGACCTTTAACCAAGAGTGAAGCCTGTTAAATTAACACTTAGATTTGCTATAAATGGGATTGAGCAATTAAGGGAGAATGTGTTGAAAGTATAAAACTACTATCTGGAGGAAAATGTGTGAGAAGCAGTAAAAGACCAGAGCAGTGGTTTACTAGCCTCGTGAGACCATCCTGATCTCGCGAGCTTTCAAGATTTAACTCGCTAATCAGTCTGGAGACTCTCTGTTGAAGAAAATTTGGAGCCGTTCACCAAACAAATGTCCAATCAGCGTTGGCTTTGAGGCGGGTTGAGGTGTGACGCAACGAGAAACGCGACAGTTCAGTCTAAAGAACATGGCGGCTTCAGCCGATGAAACTAGCGTTAGTGTGGCTATTGAGCAAGTTTTATCGGAATTATACTGTATTTCTTCACTGAAAGAAGAGCAAAACACTGCTCTGGAGGCTTTTCTCAGAGGAAAAGATGTTTTTGCTCTTCTCCCGACTGGTTTCAGCAAGAGTTTGATCTATCAATTGGCTCCTCTTCGTCGTCGCTCTGTTACATCATATGCTTCGTTGATCTGATTGGTTTATTTGGTCCGTCTATCACCAACATAGGCCAATCAGCTAACCAGTATCTTCACCCCTTCCCAAAATTACTTCGGAAGTTTTCCAGATGGATATGCGGAGCAAATCCATCTGGCGGAGTCAGGTTAGTGGTTTACTATAGGTAAGGTTATTGTAACCTGGTCTCAAGATGGCCCCAGGTCCATGTTGGATGGTCCTACTTGACTGCATAGCTTCAGTTTTATTGATCCTCTTTATGGTCTCATTCAACTTTTCATGGGGGCTCCAACTCAAACAACAATGTACTGCTGATCTGTGGGGGCGGGGACGTCTTTTTGTTCACTGCGACACACACGTAGATGACCTAGTTTCACAGTATAAATCAGCCTTAACCCAATTGACACCTTAGCCCTAAACCTAAACATTAGCAAAATAGAATGCGAAGACCTGCAAAATGTACTCATTTTGCAGCAACTGGTCCTCAATTTGATGGTGAAATTGGAAAAATGGTCCTAGACACGCACAGGTACACACACACCCATTCATACTCATTTTTTATTTTCTGTTACTGTTGAACTAAGTGGATCCCTGTCTGCAACTGATTGACACTCAGCCTCCATTTTTCACCCCATTAACTAAAGTTTTATGTGGTTTAGATTCAGATAAATATCTTTCAATACTCTTATACAAAATACTTAAAATTATTTTACTGTTTTTTGTTTTTTAGGTTTAAGCATATTAAATATTCTTTATTTTCCATCTTGTGAATTTTAGCACTTCTCACTCCTACAAATATGCTTTTTTATTTAAGATATTGTTTTAGGCTTTCTTTAATATATGGTTTTTGTTTTTATTCATCTTAATAGGTTATCTGTTTTACACGTTTAATTGTGTGTGCCTTTGTTTCCAATGTTTAAAAAATGGAAGCAGTTAAGGCTTTTTTTTCATCAAAAAACATGCACACCCTAATTAAAAACTTGATATTCAATATTTTTAGAAGCAAAGTTAAAAACCAAGCATTTATTCATCATCTTCTTTACATCTAGTGGCTTTGTAAGTTGTTCAGTTATGTTTTTTTTTTGTTTTTTCTTTGCAGGAGCTGCCTGAACACATGCAGATTCACATCAACTGTGACAGCAAAGTCCAGCCATGACGGGAAGGGAGTTGCAGCTCTGCAGAAGATGATGAATTCAGTGGGGGGGTTTCTTTCTTGCCATGAACACAGCACCTGTTAAAAACCCCAGAACAGATTCAGGGTTTAAATAATCACATCAGGCCTTTTCATGTGAAAATCAGCAGCGTCGGACCAAGAGAGAAACCTAGCTTTTCTTTTTTCGTTTTTACAGGAATTTCCTGTTTTCTGTTTTTTTTTTTTTTTCATCACCAGGATGGAAAATATTCATTACCCTTTTTAAACCAATTACTTGACTCAGTGTTGGTCATGTCGATCAAAGCGGGATATCTAATAGATTGTTAAACACATAAAGTGGATCCTTTACCACATTTCTATATTTAACCAACTGGGTGATGTTTATACGTGAGCACTTGAGAGGCTTTTTTTTCTATAAACAAACCTTACTTAATAACTCAGCGGGCTTAGTCGTGTCTGTAGGTGAAATAAATATCAACCAACTGGTGACATCATCAGTCTAAGAATTGGATAAAAAAAGCAGACAATAACCATGCAGTGTTATGCAGAACCTTTTTTTCTGTATAGTTTATTAAAATAGTATCAACATTCTCCTTTTAGGGAACAGGATTGCCATGTAGATTTCATCTTAATCAACAACTGACATCTTTTTTTATGTCACTGAGGAAAACATTCACTTACATCTAATCTAAAAGCAGCTGTAATAAATAAAGTCATGTTAAAGTCTGTTTCATACTCCCAGTATGTGTTTGTTTGACTACCTACTGTAGGTATACAGCAATAAAAAGCAAAACTTGCATGTTTACATCAATTCCTTTTATTGAAATTGCTTTAATTGTACTTCATAAATGTTTTTTATATATATAATTTTAACATATTTTGAATCCTGGGGGGATAAATGCTGAGGGGAAGTTAAAACTCCGAAGAGAAAGTTAAATGCTGAAGAAAAATATGTCTTAAGTTTAGCAACAATATTGATTTTAATGAACTAAAGGTAAAGAAACATGCTATAAATGAGCTGAAGGTCTCAACAGAGGGGGGATTATTCAAGCTGCTGGCCGTCCTGGAAACGATTTCATCTAGGAGTACATGGTCAGCTGAAGCCACTAAAAGACAAAGAAATAAGCACCAGGTAAAAAAATATATACAGGTGCTGGTCATAAAATTAGAATATCATGAAAAAGTAGATTGATTTCAGTAATTCCATTTAAAAAGTGAAACTTGTATATTATATTCATACATTACATACAAACTCATATATTTCAGATGTTTATTTTGTTTAATTTTGATGATTACAAATGACAACAAATGAAAATCTCAAATTCATCATATCAGAAAATTAGAATATTACTGAAGACCAATAAAAACAAAGGATTTATAGAAATGTTGGCCAACTGAAAAGTATGAACATGAAAAGTATGAGCATGTACAGCACTCAGTATTTAGTTGGGCCTCCTTTGGCCTGTATTACTGCAGCAATGCGGCGTGGCATGGAGTCGATCAGTCTGTGGCACTGCTCAGGTGTTATGATAGCCCAGGTTGCTCTAATAGTGGCTTTTAGCTCTTCTGAATTGTTGGGTCTGGTGTATTGCATCTTCTTCTTCACAATACCCCATAGATTTTCTATGGGGTTAAGGTCAGGAGAGTTTGCTGGCCAATTAAGAACAGGGATACCATGGTCCTTCAACCAGGTACTGGTAGCTTTGGCACTGTGTGCAGGTGCCAAGTCCTGTTGGAAAATGAAATCTGCATCTCCAAAAAGTTGGTCAGCTGCAGGAAGCATGAAGTGCTCTAAAACTTCCTGGTATGTGGCTGCGTTGACCCTGGACCTCAGAAAACACAATGGACCAACACCAGCAGATGACATGGCACCCCAAACCATCACTGACTGTGGAAACTTTACACTGGACTTCAAGCAACGTGGATGAAGTGCCTCTCTTCTTTTCCTCCAGACTCTGGGACCTTGATTTCCAAAGGAAATGCAAAATTTACTTTCATCAGAGAACATGACTTTGGACCACTCACCAGCAGTCCAGTCCTGTTTCTCTTTAGCCCAGGCAAGACGCTTCTGACGCTGTCTGTGGTTCACGAGTGGCTTGACACAAGGAATGCGACAGCAGAAACCCATGTCTTTCATACGTCTGTGTGTGGTGGTTCTTGAAGCACTCACTCCAGCTGCAGTCCACTCTTTGTGAATCTCCCCCACATTTTTGAATGGGTTTTGTTTCACAATCCTCTCCAGGGTGCGGTTATCTCTCTTGCTTGTACACTTTTTTCGACCACATCTTTTCCTTCCCTTCGCCTCTCTATTAATGTGCTTGGACACTGAGCTCTGTGAACAGCCAGCCTCTTTAGCGATGACCTTTTGTGTCTTGCCCTCCTTGTGCAAGGTGTCGATGGTCGTCTTTTGGACAACTGTCAAGTCAGCAGTCTTCCCCATGATTGTGTAGCCTATAGAACTAGACTGAAAGACCATTTAAAGGCTTTTGCAGGTGGTTTGAGTTAATTAGCTGATTAGAGTGTGGCACCAGGGGCCATCAATTTTGAACCTTTTCACAATATTCTAATTTTCTGATATGATGAATTTGAGATTTTCATTTGTTGTCATTTGTAATCATCAAAATTAAACAAAATAAACATCTGAAATATATGAGTTTGTATGTAATGTATGAATATAATATACAAGTTTCACTTTTTAAATGGAATTACTGAAATCAATCTACTTTTTCATGATATTCTAATTTTATGACCAGCACCTGTACGGTATATTTCATTGAATTTCTGAATTGGCTCTGAAAATCATCAAACTAACAAATATCTTGCATTCCACTTTTGTTAAAAAAATTAATAATATATATATATATATATATATATATATATATATATATATATATATATATATATATATAATTTTTTATCTGAAAACTTGCAGAGAAATGCATGTGTTATCAGGCTGTGATAAAACAACCAACCTGTAAACCCAGCGGAAAAAGGAGTTTACTCATTAAATTAAGCGGAGACAAAATAGTTTAAAATTTGCATGTAGAGGTAATTCAAATGAAAACATGATTATCCACTTCGAGCTCTTTGAACACGTTTTATCTTAATTAGAATTTGCCTTGGCGTTATTTCAAATACAATGGACAAGAAATGTAAAGGAAGGGAAGAGAGGTGGGGCAAGGAAAATTAAAAAGCAAAGAGTTAAGAGGAGGGAAAGGATCACGTTTATTAGCAGGTTTGAGGAGCCAGAAACTGTCCTGTTGGAGCTGAGGTAGACAGTGTTAAAGAAAAATGATTATTTTTTAGACTTTATTACAGTTAATCTTATGGCATGTGTAAAAGGTATGTTGTATACTCTCCTTTTCTCAATATTTCTTATTTTGAACAAGTTTGTGAAGATAACCTTTCCTTGAACCAGATTACTAAATTTAAGTTTGTTCCTGAAAATTTATGGTGAGGCCCCCCGCATTCCACAAGCTGTCTGTGAGAGCTTATCTTGTGTTTTATGACTTTAGGAATTCTAGATGCCAGGACAAGCTTTCCGCCTTTTCTTGTTAAAACAAAGAAGCAAATGACCCCAGATGTTTGCAGTAAATAAGGGGAAGCCCTAGCAGTGTCAGAGATGGCGTTTGGTTGGAGGACCGAGGGCCAGCCCCTTTTTGAATGGATTAGATACAAGAGGATAAAGCTTTCTAAATAGAAGAAAAAGATCAGATTTGCCCTTGCAACTCTCCAAAGATGTCTCTGTACTCTTTGCTTTCTTTCCTCCTATGTCAGGTAATGGAATGTATGTCTCTGTTGTTCTGCAGTTTCTGGTGTAGGTTTGTGCATTGTCTTATTTCTAAAGTGTATGCATTGTCTTGATA